AGGCGTCAGGATCGGGATCGAACCCACGACATCTCCTGTACACCAGGCGAGGTAGTTAACATCTCCTAGCTACCGTGATGATGATGGTAAGAAAGAGAGAGAGAGACACGCAAACTTCAAATGTACAGCGGGCGTCAGAGTCGAGATCGAACCCACGACATCTCCTGTACACCAGACGAGGTAGTTAACATCTCCTAGCCACCGTGATGATGATGGTAAGAGAGAGAGAGACACGCAAACTTCAAATGTACAGCGGGCGTCAGAGTCGGGATCGAACCCACGACATCTCCTGTACACCAGGCGAGGTAGTTAACATCTCCTAGCCACCGTGATGATGATGGTAAGAGAGAGAGAGAGAGAGACACGCAAACTTCAAATGTACAGCGGGCGTCAGAGTCGGGATCTAACCCACGACATCTCCTGTACACCAGGCGAGGTAGTTGACATCTCACAGCCACCGCGGCTCCCCGATAATAACCCAAACACACTGGGTAATTCTCTTCTCGCACGCACACGCAATATCTCCCTTCATCTGTAAACCCCCGCCTCGCTCGCGCATTACGACGAATGCCAGATGGGAGGCAGCCTTGGGCAGTTGGACGGGGATAGGTGGTGGGCTGGGAGCGGGGGGGGGGCGAGAGATGGAAGATTTGCGGCGTAATTGGGTTGAGAGGAGCCGGGAGAGAGGAAGGAGAGAGAGAGAGAGGAGTCGAGAGTGGGGAGTAGGTAGGGACAGACGGGGAGGAGGGGAACGGGAAAAAGTTGAGCGATGGGAAGAGGTGGGGAGAGAGGGGAGGTGGGGAGAGAGGGGATGGGGGGAGAGAGGGGAGGGGGGAGAGAGGGATGGGGGAGAGAAGGGGAGGGGGGGAGAGAGGGGAGGGGGAGAGGGTGGAGGAGAGAAAGTGGCTGGGTGCAGATGCAGCACTTGTCGTAGTTAAAAAATTGCAAATATTACATAGAAAACAGGGGGAACGTCGACAGAGTAGGGAGAGAGGGAGTAGAGAGAGGGGGTAGAGAGAGGGGGTAGAGAGAGAGGGGGTAGAGAAAGAGGGGGTAGAGAGAGAGGGGGTAGAGAGAGAGGGGGTAGAGAGAGGGGGTAGAGAGAGGGGGGTAGAGAGAGAGGGGGTAGAGAGAGAGGGGGTAGAGAGAGGGGGTAGAGAGAGAAGGGGTAGAGAGAGAGGGGGGGTAGAGAGAGGGGGTAGAGAGAGAGGGGGGTAGAGAGAGAGGGGGTAGAGAAAGAGGGGGTAGAGAGAGAGGGGGTTGAGAGAGAGGGGGGTAAAGAGAGAGGGGGTAGAGAGAGAGAGAGGGGGTAGAGTGAGAGGGGGTAGAGAGAGGGAGTAGAGAGAGAGGGGGTAGAGAGAGAGGGGGTAGAGAGAGCGGGGTAGAGAGAGAGGGGTAGAGAGAGAGGGGGTAGAGAGAGAGGGGGGTAGAGATGAGAGGGGGAGTAGAGAGAGAGGGGGTAGAGAGAGAGGGGGTAGAGAGAGAGGGGGGGAGAGAGAGGGGTAGAGAGAGAGGAGGTAGAGAGAGGGGGTAGAGAAAGAGGGGGTAGAGAGAGAGGGGTAGAGAAGAGGGGGTAGAGAGAGAGGGGGTAGAGAGAGAGGGGGGAGAGAGAGAGGGGGTAGAGAGAGAGGGGGGGAGAGAGAGAGGGGGTAGAGAGAGAGGGGGGTAGAGAGAGGGGGGTAGAGAGAGAGGGGGTAGAGAGAGAGAGGGGGTAGAGAGAGAGAGAGGGGGTAGAGAGAGGGAGTAGAGAGAGAGGGGGTAGAGAGAGGGGGTAGAGAGAGAGGGGGTAGAGAGAGAGGGGGTAGAGAGAGAGGGGGTAGAGAGAGAGGGGGTAGAGAGAGAGGGGGTAGAGAGAGAGAGGGGTAGAGAGAGAGGGGGTAGAGAGAGAGAGGGGGTAGAGAGAGAGGGGGTAGAGAGAGAGGGGTAGAGAGAGAGGGGTAGAGAGAGAGAGAGGGGATAGAGAGAGAGGGGGATAGAGAGAGAGGGGGTAGAGAGAGAGTGGGTAGAGAGAGAGTGGGTAGAGAGAGAGGGGGTAGAGAGAGAGGGGGGTAGAGAAAGAGGGGTAGAGAGAGAGGGGTAGAGAGAGAGGGGGTAGAGAGAGAGAGGGGGTAGAGAGAGAGGGGGATAGAGAGAGAGAAGGTAGAGAGAGGGGGGTAGAGAGAGGGGGGTAGAGAGAGAGGGGGTAGAGAGAGAGGGGGAATAGAGAGAGGGGGTAGAGAGAGGGAGTAGAGAGGGAGGGGGTAGAGAGAGGGGGATAGAGAGAGAGGGGGATAGAGAGAGAGGGGGTAGAGAGAGAGGGGGTAGAGAGAGAGGGGGTAGAGAGAGAGGGGAGTAGAGAGAGAGGGGGAGTAGAGAGAGAGGGGGTAGAGAGAGAGGGGTAGAGAGAGAGGGGGTAGAGAGAGAGAGGGGGGTAGAGAGAGAGGGGGTAGAGAGAGAGGGGGTAGAGAGAGAGGGGGTAGAGAGAGAGGGGTAGAGAGAGAGGGCGTAGAGAGAGAAGGGGTAGAGAGAGGGGGTTAGAGAGAGAGGGGTAGAGATGAGAGGGGGTAGAGAAGAGGGGTAGAAGAGAGGGGGTAGAGAGAGAGGGGGTAGAGAGAGGGGGTAGAGAGAGGGGGTAGAGAGAGAGGGGGTAGAGAGAGAGGGGGTAGAGAGAGAGGGGGTAGAGAGAGAGGGGGTAGAGAGAAGAGAGAGGGGTAGAGAGAGGGGGGTAGAGAGAGAGGGGGGTATAGAGAGAGGGGGTAGAGAGAGAGGGGGTAGAGAGAGAGGGGGTAGAGAGAGAGGGGTGGTAGAGAGAGTGGGGGTAGAGAGAGAGGGGGTAGAGAGAGAGGGGGTAGAAGAGAGAGGGGGTAGAGAGAGAGTGGTAGAGAGGAGGGAGTAGAGAGAGGGGGTAGAGAGAGAGGGGGGTAGCGAGAGAGGGGTAGAGAGAGAGGGGGTAGAGAGAGAGAGGGGAGTTAGAGAGAGAGAGGGGGTAGAGAGAGAGGGGGTAGAGAGAGAGGGGTAGAGAGAGAGGGGTAGAGAGAGAGGGGGTAGGAGAGAGAGGGGGGTAGAGAGAGAGGGGGTAGAGAGAGAGGGGTTAGAGAGAGAGAGGGGGTAGAGAGAGAGGGGTCAGAGAGAGAGGGGGATAGAGAGAGAGGGGGATAGAGAGAGAGGGGTAGAGAGAGAGGGGGTAGAGAGAGAGGGGTAGAGAGAGAGGGGGGTAGACAAAGAGGGGGTAGAGAGAGGGGTAGAGAGAGAGGGGGTAGAGAGAGAGGGGGAATAGAGAAGGGGGTAGAGAGAGGGAGTAGGAGAGGAGGGGGTAGAGAGAGGGGGTATAGAGAGAGAGGGGGATAGAGAGAGAGGGGGTAGAGAGAGAGGGGGTAGAGAGAGAGGGGGTAGAGAGAGAGGGGGAGTAAGAGAGAGAGGGGAGTAGAGAGAGAGGGGTAGAGAGAGAGGGGTAGAGAGAGAGGGGGTAGAGAGAGAGAGAGAGGGGGTAGAGAGAGAGGGGTAGATAGAGAGGGGGATAGAGAGAGAGGGGTAGAGAGAGAGGGGGTAGAGAGAGAGGGGGTAGAGAGAGAGGGGGTAGAGAGAGAGGGGGTAGAGAGAGGGGGTAGAGAGAGAGGGGTAGAGAGAGAGGGGGTCGAGAGAGAGGGGTAGAGAGAGAGGGGGTAGAGAGAGAGGGGTAGAGAGAGAGGGGGTAGAGAGAGAGAGGGGGTAGAGAGAGAGGGGGTAAGAGAGGAGGGGGTAGAGAGAGAGGGGGTTAGAGAGAGATGGTAGAGAGAGAAGGGTAGAGAGAGGGGGTAGAGAGAGGGGTAGAGAGAGAGGGGGTAGAGAGAGAGGGGGTAGAGAAAGAGGGGGTAGAAGAGAGAGGGGTAGAGAGAGAGGGGGTAGAGAGAGAGGGGGTAGAGAGAGAGGGGTAGAGAGAGAGGGGGTAGAGAGAGATGGGGTAGAGAGAGGGGGTAGAGAGAGGAGGGGGTAGAGAGAGGTGGGTAGAGAGAGAGGGGTAGAGAGAGAGGGGAGTAGAGAGAGAGGGGTAGAGAGAGAGGGGGAGTAGAGAGAGAGGGGGTAGAGAGAGAGGGGTAGAGAGAGAGGGGGTAGAGAGAGAGGGTAGAGATAGAGGGGTAGAGAGAGAGGGGGTTAGAGAGAGAGGGGGTAGAGAGAGAGGGGTAGAGAGAGAGAGGGGGTAGAGAGAGAGGGTGGTAGAGAGAGAGGGGGTAGAGAGAGAGGGGGATAGAGAGAGAGGGGGTAGAGAGAGAGGGGGTAGAGAGAGAGGGGTAGAGAGAGAGGGGGGTAGAGAGAGAGGGGGTAGAGAGAGAGGGGGTAGAGAGAGAGGGGGTAGAGAGAGAGGGGGTAGAGAGAGATGGGGGTAGAGAGAGAGGGGTAGAGAGAGAGGGGTAGAGAGAGAGGGGGTTAGAGAGAGAGGGGGTAGAGAGAGAGGGGGATAGAGAGAGGGGGGTAGAGAGAGAGGGGGTAGAGAGAGAGAGAGGGGTAGAGAGAGGGAAGGTAGAGAGAGAGGGGGTAGAGAGAGAGGGGGATAGAGAGAGAGGGGGATAGAGAGAGAGGGGGTAGAGAGAAGAAGGTAGAGAGAGAGGGGTAGAGAGAGGGAAGGTAGAGAGAGAAGGGTAGAGAGAGAGAGAGGGGGGTAGAGAGAGAGGGGGTAGAGAGAGAGGGGGGAAGAGAGAGAGGGGGTAGAGAGAGAGAGGGGGTAGAGAGAGAGAGGGGTAGAGAGAGAGGGGTAGAGAGAGGGAAGGGGTAGAAGAAAGGAAGAGAGCAGAGCGTGAAGTCTTTTGTGAAATTTCATTAAAAAGGAGGGGGGTTACAAAAGCAAAGCATTGAAAACAACAAAAAACGAATGATGAACGAAGCAAAGTGCGACTACACGAGCATCTTCTTGTTTCCTCTGATCGTAAAAAAAGAGAGAGGGTGGAGGAGAGAGGGAGGAGAGAAGGGAGGGGAGGGGAGAGAGAATGGTGGGGGGGGGGGGGTAAGGGGGGGGCTGCAGTCGACAAGTACTTTAACCCACCCGGGGCTGACAGCTCTCACTTTCCGCCGCGTCTCTCCGTCTCTCTCACCTCGACCGACGCACGCACTCACCACGCACTCACCCACGAACTCACCACGAACTCACCCACGCGGTCTCCCACCACTGACCCGGACTCGAACTCGGACCTTGATCTGCGGGAGCTCGGAACGACCGCGGGCCTCTGGTAAAGTCGTCGTCTCTTTCTCACCTGCCGCGGTCATCTGCCTCACGGCTCGCTCAGCACCGTCACCATCATCACCATTGCCGCCACCAAAGATCCCCCGTATAGCCTTAACAGACGATTCGGGCAAGTGCTGTTAGCGATCACCTATGAAGGTGCCCGGCAGCACCACGCCGGTCGCCTTCGTACTCCCGATGTTCATACGCCAGGTACTGATTTGAGGCTGAGTCGACCTAGGGGAGGCCCAGGACGGTTCACATAACCATCACTGGTGTTGGTTTCCGTGAGCGGGAATCAAACTCGGTTCGCCGGGTTCGTAGCACAACCCGCTAACCGCTACACTACCGCTCCGCAATCACCACCATCACCACCATCATATATCACCACCACCATCATCATCATCACCACCACCATCACTATAATCATGATCCCACACAAGTCGCTGATACGAATCATGTCATGTGAGTTCCACGAGTCACTGTCGAATCGAAGCCGCTCACGTCTAGCTCCACGCGTGTGATTCGAATGTTCGTCTGAAATTGCGAAGTGCAAATTTCACCGGCGTCACATTTCAGCCTTCCACGCACTTGTAAAATCATTGTCAAAACTTGGTCCAGATTTGTTGCGTTGAAATGTTTTAAAAACAAATCGTTGCGTGTTCTTCACGTGTCCTTATGGTGTAACCCAGGTCGCCCTCCAGAATCGCAGTCTCGTTTTTTATTAGTTTCATCTGCTGGCTAAAAAGTTGATGATCAACTCCACTGATCATCATCGCCATCTTATATACATGGCACATTCATCATCATTTCGAAGGTGTACTACACTCATCATTACCCATTGGAGTGGCACAATCATCATCATCACTATACAGAAGTTATACACAAACATCATCATCATCGTAATGACACATCATTGTCATGATTTAATGGTTACGCGGTCACCATCGTTATTTCTGATTCGTTTCCGGTCGAACCTAAAACCGATTGAAAGAATTACGGTTCGGCACATGTTAAAATGGTTCGGTTCTGGTTAATTTGTTGCATGTAAGCGGTTCAAACCGGTTCATTTGTTGCATAGAACCGTTTTGAACCGATTAATTTGAGGGTGAGTTGGGCCGACTCGTTAGTTAGTTAGTTAGACACGGAAACACAGACACAAAGACACCCAAAGAGAGACATGGAGACAGCAGAGGGAGACACAGACACAAAGACACCCACAGAGAGACATGGAGACACAGATGGAGACACGGAGACACCCACAGAGAGACATGGAGACACAGAGGGAGACACAGACACAAAGACACCCACAGAGAGACATGGAGACAGCAGAGGGAGACACGGACACAGAGACACCACAGAGAGATATGGAGACACAGAGGGAGACACAGACACAAAGACACCCACAGAGAGACATGGAGACAGCAGAGGGAGACACAGACACAAAGACACCCACAGAGAGACATGGAGACACAGAGGGAGACACGGAGACACCCACAGAGACACCCACAGAGAGACATGGAGACACAGAGGGAGACACAGACACAAAGACACCCACAGAGAGACATGGAGACACAGAGGGAGACACAGAGACACCCACAGAGAGACATGGAGACAGCAGAGGGAGACACAGACACAGACACAAAGACACCCACAGAGAGACATGGAGACACAGAGGGAGACACGGAGACACCCACAGAGGACACCCACAGAGAGACATGGAGACACAGAGGGAGACACAGACACAAAGCACCCACAGAGAGACATGGAGACAGCAGAGGGAGACACGGACACAGAGACACCCACAGAGAGATATGGAGACACAGAGGGAGACACAGACACAAAGACACCCACAGAGAGACATGGAGACACAGAAAAGACACGGAGACACCCACAGAGACACCCACAGAGAGACATGGAGACACAGAGGGAGACACAGACACAAAGACACCACAGAGAGACATGGAGACACAGAGGGAGACACAGAGACACCCACAGAGAGACATGGAGACAGCAAAGGGATACACGGAGACACCCACAGAGAGACATGGAGACACAGAGGGAGACACAGACACAAAGACACCCACAGAGAGACATGGAGACAGCAGAGGGAGACACAGACACAGAGACACCCACAGAGAGACACAGAGACACCCACAGAGAGACACAGACACAGAGACACCCACAGAGAGACATGGAGACAGCAGAGGGAGACAGACACAGAGACACCCACAGAGAGACACGGAGACATAGACACAGAGGACACCCACAGAGAGACATAGATACACAGAGGGAGACACAGACACAGAGACACCCACAGAGAGACCATGGAGACAGCAGAGGGAGACACAGAGACACCACAGAGAGACATGGAGACAACCAGAGGGACACACGAAGACACAGGCACAGACGGGGACACACACAAAACCAAACTTAATATTGCAACTTTAACAAACTATCTTGGTGGCGATTCTACTGCTGCTTTGCCGGTAGTACACAACTACCAATAACAAAACAAAACTCAACACATTCGTCAACAACGCTGTGGCCTTTACAAGTAAAAGTATACAACAGGCGATGTCTCGGACAATAACCCCTCTTCATAGCATACAACAGCTGCATCTAGTGCCGTGTCAAAGCAAACGCGTATCCAGCAATAGGCGACGTTTAAATACAAGGGTCGATGTGCTGTGAAGCACGTGCATGTTGTGCTACGAGGAAGGGGCATTGCCCGAAACGTCGCCGATGTCCTTTGTAGGGCACAGAGTTATTTGATATATATGTTGAGTTTTATATAGTGTGTGTGCGTGTGTCCATTGTGGATAAATAACAATCGGATTGGTGTATTGCAGTCGTGTGAGAGTTGGCTATACAGTCTACATATATACTACACCAGTATATGCTATACAGTCTATGTATTGTATTACTGTACAGTCTACCATAGGACTGTTGGGACGCTGGCTGTAGCCAGCAATGCCCTGCCACCCGCCCACACCTCATCTCTGTCTGCTTCCCACATGACGGTAGCCAGAGCCGGGAAGACCAAAAACCCTTTCAAGTCTCATCTTGCTCCTCCTCGTCCCACGCCATCCCCAATATCCCCCTCCTCATCTCCTCCCCTAACCCCGATCTCCCCAGACCTCTCTTATCCCGTTCTGATCAAAGCCCATCCATCCCCACCAGCGCTCTGCCCATCCTCCTCCTTGCACGCTCGCATTTTCCAATTTCACGGCGATTTTCATGCGTGCCGTGATGGAGGGGGGGGGGGGGTTCTGGGTTGTGTGAGTGGGAGGAGCGGTGGTGCAGCGGTTAGCGCTGCGCTGCGCTACGAACCACGGTGACCCCAATTCGATTCCCGCTCGCGGCCATATAACCAGTGAGCATTTTCTGAACCGGTCCTGGGCCTCCGCTAGATCGACTCAGCCTCAAATGAGTACCTGTGCGGTGCGTAAAAACATCGCCACTAGGGAGACAAAGGCGACCGAGCGTGGTGTTGGCCACCCACACCCTCGTGTGCCGTGCCGGCCTTCATAGGTCTCTCGCGAACAGCACTTGCCCTTACAGTCTGTTGTGTCATTGCGGGGATCTTTGTCTTTGTTACGTGTTTTATAATCACGATTGTTGAGCACAAGAAGGCCCCCAAGAGGAACCCAACGACGCTGAGCTGGTCAGCAGTAAACTTCACCTTTGTATACTTTTTGTTTAAGTGGGTTGTGTTTGTTAAAACAACAAAAAAAGGGAGCGAAGTAAAGTTTCTTTAAAACCGAACAAAAGGATGTTGAGATTTTGGGGGAGGAGGAGGGGAAATTTTGTATGACGGGAGGGAACTTTTACTATTTTGAGGCAGTGGCGAGGGAAAGAGCAGAAAGCGACGTTGGATTGTGGTCCACAGTGCGGTGCGTGGGCGGTGAAGTGTGTGGGTGAGTGTTGTGAGGTGAGTGTGCGGGTGACGTGTGGTGGGTGAGTGGGGCGGGTGAGGTAGTGTTGGTGAAGTGGTAGTGGGGGAGGGTGGGGTGGGTGACGTGGGCGGGGTGGAGTGTGTGGGTGAGTGTATGGGTGAGTGGGCGGGCTGAGCCTGTAGACCCTACGTGGTGAGTGTGTGGGTGATTGTTTGGTGAGGTTGGCGGGTGAGTGTGTGGGTGAGGATGGTGCGGGTGAGTGTGTTTGGGAGTGTGTGGGTGAGTGTACCCGCTGGGTGAGTGGGCGGGTGAGTGTGTGGGTGACGTGGTATGGGTGATTGGGGGCGGGTGAGTGTGTGGGGTAGTGGGCGGGGGTGAGTGGTTCGTGAGTGTGTGGGTGAGTGTGTGGGTGAGTGGGCGGGTGAGTGGGCGGGTGAGTGTGTGGGTGAGTGGGCGGGTGAGTGTGTGGGTGAGTGTATGGGTGAGTGGGCGGGTGAGTGTGTGGGTGAGTGGGCGGGTGAGTGGGCGGGTGAGTGTGTGGGTGAGTGTGTGGGTGAGTGTGTGGGTGAGTGGGCGGGTGAGTGGGCGGGTGAGTGTGTGGGTGAGTGGGCGGGTGAGTGTGTGGGTGAGTGGGCGGGTGAGTGTGTGGGTGAGTGGGCGGGTGAGTGTGTGGGTGAGTGGGCGGGTGAGTGTGTGGGTGAGTGGGCGGGTGAGGGGTTGGGTGAGTGGGCGGGTGAGTGTGTGGGTGAGTGGGCGGGTGAGTGTGTGGGTGAGTGGGCGGGTGAGTGGGCGGGTGAGTGGGCGGGTGAGTGTGTGGGTGAGTGGGCGGGTGAGTGTGTGGGTGAGTGGGCGGTGTGAGTGTGTGGGTGAGTGGGCGGGTGAGTGTGTGGGTGAGTGGGCGGGTGAGTGTATGGGTGAGTGGGCGGGTGAGTGTATGGGTGAGTGGGCGGGTGAGTGTGTGGGTGAGTGGGCGGGTGAGTGTATGGGTGAGTGGGCGGGTGAGTGTGTGGGTGAGTGGGCGGGTGAGTGTGTGGGTGAGTGGGCGGGTGAGTGTATGGGTGAGTGGGCGGGTGAGTGTATGGGTGAGTGGGCGGGTGAGTGTGTGGGTGAGTGGGCGGGTGAGTGTATGGGTGAGTGGGCGGGTGAGTGTGTGGGTGAGTGGGGCGGGTGAGTGTTTGGGTGAGTGGGCGGGTGAGTGTATGGGTGAGTGGGCGGGTGAGTGTATGGGTGAGTGGGCGGGTGAGTGTGTGGGTGAGTGGGCGGGTGAGTGTGTGGGTGAGTGGGCGGGTGAGTGTGTGGGTGAGTGGGCGGGTGAGTGTGTGGGTGAGTGTGTGGGTGAGTGTGTGGGTGAGTGGGCGGGTGAGTGTGTGGGTGAGTGGGCGGGTGAGTGTGTGGGTGAGTGTGTGGGTGAGTGTGTGGGTGAGTGTGTGGGTGAGTGTGTGGGTGAGTGGGTGGGTGAGTGTGTGGGTGAGTGGGCGGGTGAGTGTGTGGGTGAGTGGGCGGGTGAGTGTGTTGGTGAGTGGGCGGGTGAGTGTGTGGGTGAGTGGGCGGGTGAGTGTGTGGGTGAGTGGGTGGGTGAGTGTGTGGGTGAGTGTGTGGGTGAGTGTGTGGGTGAGTGTGTGGGTGAGTGTGTGGGTGAGTGGGCGGGTGAGTGTGTGGGTGAGTGGGCGGGTGAGTGTGTGGGTGAGTGGGCGGGTGAGTGTGTGGTGAGTGGCGGGTGAGTGTATGGGTGAGTGGGCGGGTGAGTGTGTGGGTGAGTGGGCGGGTGAGTGTGTGGGTGAGTGTGGGGGTGAGTGTGTGGGTGAGTGTGTGGGTGAGTGTGTGGGTGAGTGGGTGGGTGAGTGTGTGGGTGAGTGGGCGGGTGAGTGTGTGGGTGAGTGGGCGGGTGAGTGTGTGGGTGAGTGGGCGGGTGAGTGTGTGGGTGAGTGGGCGGGTGAGTGTGTGGGTGAGTGTGTGGGTGAGTGTGTGGGTGAGTGTGTGGGTGAGTGTGTGGGTGAGTGTGTGGGTGAGTGTGTGGGTGAGTGTGTGGGTGAGTGTGTGGGTGAGTGTGTGGGTGAGTGGGCGGGTGAGTGTGTGGGTGAGTGGGCGGGTGAGTGTGTGGGTGAGTGTGTGAGTGAGTGAGTGTGAGTGTGCGATGTGAGTGTGTGCGATGTGAGTGCGATGTGAGTGTGTGCGGCGTGGGTGAGTTGGTGGGTGGGTCAGTGAGTCAGCGAGTGTTGTCGTGGTAGTGGTGGTGGTGGTGTGACTTGATTGTGAGACTGCTTGAACAGTGTGGTAGTGGTGGTGGTGGATGAGGAGAGGAAACAGACAGTCCGCTCTCGCCCCAGATCACCTCAGCACGGATGGAGACATCCATCCGTGCCGAGGTGGGGGTCGGAGCGGGGGGGGTTACGGAAAAATACTTTTGGCATTTGGAACATTTTTAGTCACAGAGTTCCCGAGCCTTCCCCAAAAGCTCACGGCTCGCATCGCTTCGTCGGCACCAGACAATCGCTCTGCCTCCCTCCCCGTCTCTGCAGACAACGTGGAGCATGCAAATCGGCGCGCTCCACGTAGTAGTGACATTATAATTCATCAGCTCAAGGGGTGCGGCCATCGGTCAGGTGGGGGCCCCACCAATATTTGATTTTGTCTCGCATGGTCGTGCCGAGGGGTTCGGAAATCGCGGCTCCTCTTGACGAGTCGCATCATTGAAAACAAGTGGCGGCGGCGGTGTTGGTGTTGTTTTACGCTTGATTCCTCGCGAAAAAGTTTCTGTTTTGTGTTTTAACATCTTAACACCTGTTGTATTGCCAGAAAGGGTAACATCTATTATTCTTACTTTTTTCATACCTGGAGATTTGATGAGATGTAAGCAAGGGAGCCGATGGACTTGCGCAGAGGGCTGTCGATGTAACACAGATTTGTATATAAACTCCGCTGGCTTCTACACAGACCCATTAGATTTACATAGAATTGCAGACTTGACTTTGGCACAGTGTTATGTAGGTACATATGATGTAAGAGGCGGTGTAGAGACAATATTAGAAACACGTGTTTAGAGCGTTTGGGCGCTGTAAATTTCCATACGCCGTTTCGTTTCATACTTTGATACTGGCAAAAAAAGGCCCCCACGTTATAATCTCATGGTGGTTGTCAAGCGCCCTCCCCAGCGCCCCCCAAACTCGCAGCGTTGGCCACCAGCGAGCGGCCAGGGCACCCCCTGCTTGCATTGCACTGGGGAGCCTCGTCTGGCGAGTGTGGGCTTCTCTCTCCCGGTTTGACTTCGGATGTTCAGACGTCACCGTTAACACGGCGCCAACGACAAATCTGGTACAAGCGTTTGAATATTTCAACCAATTCGTGGCACCTGGATCTGCCCCCCACTCCCCCCTGCCACGATTGTAAGCGTAGCCAAAAACCGAATACCGAGCAGGATTCCATCACGTGCGGTGGGCCCCTCGCCACCGCACGTGATGGTGGAAATTCCACATTCCTATGGCGTGGACCAGTCCGGTTGCCATAAGACAACCGATGCTAGAGTTGGTATTCATTTCATGATCATGATGATGAGAATGTATCGAGCCAAAAACCCCGATTTCAAGATCCCACGGTCGGAACCTTGCAGGCTTGGCGCTATCCCAGCGGCAGGGAGCGATGGTAGTCCGCACCGGGACTTCTTCCCACGTGGGGAGGGGAGGGGAGCGTGGGGGGGGGGAACACGTGGACAATGAGCGGTGCACGAGGCGTGACGAGAACACAACCCGCACCGCCAACCGTGGCGCACTTTAAACAAAGGGGTACGTGGTAATTGGCTGAATCGATTGGGGGGAGGGGTGGGGGGAATAGCGAATGGTGGATCGACTGAATAATTATTGGCGATTGGGTGGGTGAATGATTGAGCTCGCGGGTTGCGGTTGGTTGAATGATTTAGGGCCTGGTGATAGATTGATTCATTCGAGCACGCGGTCGGCAATTGGTTGGTTGGTGATTGGTTGAACCGTTGGGGGCAGTCGTTTGTTCATTGGTTGAATGTATGTCGAGTATGTTGAACTTCTTTCGCACCGTACGTAGCCAACCGTGCCTATCGGAGGTGCAGGGGAAGGACGAAATAATGATCAGGGTTAGCGGTTGGCGTCGGCAAAATTTGACTTCTATATTACGGGTGTGTATAATTAACATATTTTTAACCTTAATTGTAAACTACTGAAAATAAATTAGAAATGTGCCCAGTTTGGGGGGAAGGGGTCCCTTGCCCCCCCCCCCCCGTGCCCCCCCCCCTTCCCCCCAACTCCGCCCATGGCCGAATGATCGCGCCCATGGCTGGGCAGATTGTCGACCGAGCGAGCGACGATGTGGCAGCAAGTGGACGATGTAGCAGCAAGTGGACGTTGTTCACCGCAGGTGCGATCGCCAAGGTTCCAGCGTCACCGGCCGGCTGACAATGGAGGTGCCGTCGGTGATCCTCGTCGCCTTCCTGGTGCTCTTCTCCACGATGATCCCTGGTCAGTGGCGCAGCCAAAACGTTGGGGGGAGACAGGGAGAGATGGGGGGCAGGGGGGGTGTCATCGGCCCGCAAGTTTCTGTTTTAAAGGGTGGACACGTCGTTCGAGTGCAAACTTTTACAGACACCGAATAAAAAAATAAAGTCAATAATTACGTGATATTGTACACAAACAGAGTTTCGTTCAACATCGCCCGGCTGCAGGCCATATACAAGTGACACACTGAACCCAAAGCGAGCCCCCCTTTTTGAGTCTGAAAACAGCGACTAATTTTTGCCACCGGGGACATTGAGCAGACAGCGCCTTTTTTTCGCGTAAATATATAAATCAACTCCCTCTGCTTACATTGGACAGGGAAATTTGTTGCGGAGAATCGTGGGCTGAGTGCTTCCACATGCGTGCGAGCCGCGTACACGGGGTGACATACGTGTCTGTGCGCTGACACACACACGGAGTCATGAGCGGCCTTTTGTCCAAGCTGTGGTTATTTCTCTACGTGGCTCCCTTGAAGTGCACGTGGTACGTCATCATCACCACCACCATCGTCATCTTCATCACCACCATCGTCATCATCACAACCACCAATATCATCACCACCACCGTCATCATCACAACCACCATCGTCATCATCATCACAACCATCATCGCCATCATGGTCATCATCATCACAACCATCATCGCCATCATCGTCATCTTCATCACCACCATCGTCATCATCACAACCACCAACATCATTACAACCACCATCATCACAACCACCAATATCATCACAACCACCAACATCATCACAACCACCGACATCATCACCACCGACATCATCACCATCACCACCACCGACATCATCACCATCACCACCACCATCGTCATCATCATCACAACCACCATCATCATCATCACCATCGTCATCATCACCACCATCGTCATCATCACAACCACCAACGTCATCACCACCACCGTCATCATCACAACCACCATCGTCATCACCACCGTCATCATCATCACAACCACCAACATCATCACCACCACCACCGTCATCATCATCACAACCACCAACGTCATCACCACCATCACCGTAATCATCATCACAACCACCAACGTCACCACCACCACCGTCATCATCATCACAACCACCATCGTCATCACCACCACTATCTTCATCATCATCATCACAACCACCAACGTCATCACCGCTATCGCCATCACCACCACCATCATCATCATCACCACCATCGTCATCATCGATGTCCCGAGGCTGTCATCCCAGTCTGGAAGAACTCTCCGTCTGGCTCCTCACTCCACTCACAGCTCACAACCACGAGGACAACCGCTCCCCCCCCCTCTCCCTGTGAGTGATTCTCCAGCTGTAGCGACACGTGGACAGCTCTGGGAGGCCAGGTGTGCTGAGTGTGTGGCTTGTCCAGGTTGTTTTTTCCACGGTCTTCACACGACGAATATTATTCCAAACACCCGCCATTATACGTCGTTAGGTTTGTTTATCACTACGACGGTAGGTTTATTTATTTTTTACAAAGTATTTTCACAGCGCTGGTATTCCTTTCCTGTAGCGGCACCCCCCTCTCTCTTTGTCCGGTCGTGGACTTTTCGAACGCACAGAGGGGCCCTCTGTTACACCGGCCAAGTTACGTAACAAGGCCTCGCCTCCCTCTCCACTCTACCCCAATGCCAAACCCCTTCACATTCCCTCCCCCTCCGACTGTGTCCAACAATTGTAATAAATTCCATTCAGTGTGGCTCCATATATCAGGCTCGGGTTAAAATAATAATGTTGTTGTTGTTGTTGTTGTGTGTGTGACTGGCTCTCTCAATAGGAATGTGGAATTGCCAGCGCCTTCACTCACTCTCTAACCGTGGAGTGCGAGATGCCCTTTCTGGAGGGTTGCGAGACGTGGACAGATATATATTTTATTAAAGTAAATCATCGAAACACAAAATAAGCACGGGCACGTCAGTGCAAACTTACTTTGTTTCATCAAACCCCAATGTATTTATGAACATTGTAAGTTTTTTTATTTTACCAAAGGAGTGCACAGCTGCCGTAAAGGTTAAGAACCACGGCTCTCTATCTTCTCAAATAAGCGTGGGGGCAGTGCTCACCTCCGTCCGTCAACGTGAGCCTGTGGGGGAAAGTCCACGTTCATATGGCGGTGGGGATCAGTGCGTCCATAAGAAGATCACTGTTGACTTCCTGCAAAGTGGAACTCCATTCAAGCGCCCTGGAGGGTCGATTCATAATGGCAGTAGCAGCGATGATCAGCGTCATCACATTCATCCTCGTCCGTATCACTCTTATCATACATTTGCATCAGCATCATCATCGCCATCGCTGCCATCATTGGCATCCTCCCACGGAGCGTGATGCTCAATAAATCCACGCACCCGGCCGGAGTCAATCCACCGAGTTCCACTCATCCCACAGATGGTGACGTTCCGATTCAGCGCCCCCCCCCCCCCTCTCCCTTGCCCAGCAAGCATCTCCAGCTTCCCTTCTTGCTGTATTTTTCCGACGTTTCAGGTTCATATCCTGTTTCTTGTCTTGCCATCCTTCCTTCTAGAACCCCCCCCCCCCTCTAGCGGAGATCATCCCGCCAGCAGTGGCGTGAGCAAGCGTTGGCGGCGCCGCACCGCCTTAACACGAAGTGACGCGAACGACCGGGAAATGCGCCCGATGAACTCTCCGCTCGTTAGTCCCGTGACCGTGATCGTGAATCGAACCGTGCCCTCCGCATCTCTGTTGCAGCGGAGTTCGTGCAGGGGGCACCACTGCCACGACGCCAGCACGGGGCGGCGCGCAAAGGCAGGTCCCCACTCTCGCTTCCCCTGCGGCCAGCGGAGGGCAACTGTTAGGGAGGGGTTCGGCCGTTCGTGACTTAGCCGTTCGGTTGGTTTGTCTCAGAGCTGGGTGAATTTGAGACCCAACCACGCACGCACCCACCCACGCACCAACCCGCACACCCACACACACACCAACCCGCATACCCACCCACGCACCCACCCACACACAACAACAGCAACAACAACCGCCATTCGCCACGAAGTGGCGGTGACGTCACCACGACGCTTGTGCCAGGCCATGTGCACCTTGAGGCCACGTGAAAGTGTCGAACGCCCGCTGGCAGGAGGTCACGGGGCAGACCCAGGTGCCACGGGTCGACTGACTGAGATGACTGAGATGACTGAGATGACTGGCTGATGCACACACACACCCACCCACACACTCACCCACACCCACCCGCGCACTGACGTGCCCACCCACAGGCACCCACACACCAACTCATGCAATCACACCCATCCACACACCCACGCACCCACACTTACCCACGCACCAACCCATGCACCCATCCAACCACGTTCCAACCCATGCACACACACCCACCGACAAAAACAAATATCCCCCATATAGCCTTAACAGAATGTAGGGGCAAGTGCTGTCAGCGAGGTCCTTCAAAGGCCGGCACGGCCGCCCTTGTTTCCTTAGTGGCGATCTTTACACACCGCACCGGGTACTCATTTGAGGCTGAGTCGACCTAGGGGAGGCCCAGGACCGGTTCACATAACCGTCACTGGTGTTGACCTTGAGCAAGAATCGAAACTGGCGCTGCCGGGTTCGTAGCGCAGCGCGCTAACCACTACTCCCACCTACCCATGCACTCGCCCACACACTCACCCACCAACCCACCCGCGCACCCCACCCACTCCACGCACCCCACCCACCCCACCCCACCCACCCACCAACCCCACCCACCCACCCCGCGCACCCCACGCACCCCACCCACCCCACCCACCTCACGCACCCCACGCCACCCCACGCACCCCACCCACCCCACCCACCCCACCCACCCCACGCACCCCACCCACCCCACCCCACCCACCCACCCCACGCACCCCACCCACCCCACGCACCCCACCCACCCCACCCACCCCACCCACACAGCCACGCGCTCAGAGAGTGAGTGACCACTGTTTGACGTTACGAGCTGACACTGTTGTTGTCATTGTTGTCGTTGTTGTTGTTGTTGACGCGTGTTCTGATTGCAGCAGCTGCACGTCCGAAGAACGCGCTCCGTCAACTGCTGACCCCGCAGGGAAAGGAGGTGAGCCGACCTTTTCAGATTTCATCAACTTCACCAAAAGTTTTCTGTTAACATCATAGAAGCGTGCGACATCGGCAAGCTGAAAAGGTGCCAAAGAATCGTGGGGAGATGCGTGAAAATAAATAAGAATAAAACCCCCAAAAGTGAATTATACTTCGCAGCTTACAATATTAACCAGGAGTGCATCACATTATTAACTCTGAGTTTAAGAATTAAAAGTGATGCGCCGGGGCCTCGTTGTTGCTGTCCCTGGCTGGACACCTGCGAAAAAAGAGCTTTATAGCTCATCTGATTCCTCCAGTATAAGGAAATATTCCGATGCCGATAGCGACGGGCCCACCGCCACTCTCGTCTCGTCAGCTTGGCCTGCAGCGCATGAAGAGGCAGCCGGCGGAGGAGGAGGCGGCCTCGGACACGGAGGGGGCCGGGGGAGATCCCCCACAGGCCCCGCCAGAGATGGACGGGGTCCTGGCGCCCGAGTTCTACCCCGTGGGTCAGGCCGAGCCGGTGGAGCCAGGCCTGCACAGCAGGTTGGCACAGTGGGAGGGCGGGGGGGGGAGTACAGGTGGTGATGCATCGGCGGGTCATCTCTGTTCGCCTATTTTGTTTATTTTATTTCATCAGGTAAGGCCCCACTGAGCTGCGTGGCTCTTTTTTCAGAAGCGCCATCACAAACGATAGCTCAACGAGGTGGCTTATCACGTGGGAATTTATAGCAGCCAAATACTCTTCTAAATGTGGAGGAGAAAACCGGAGGACCTGGACAATAACCCTCGTGACCATGGGGAGTGAGACAACGCAAACTCCAAATATACAGCAGGTGTCAGGGTCGGGATGAAACCCACGACCTCCTGTATACCAGGCGAGGTAGTTAACATCTCCAAGCCACCATGATGATGATGATAAGAGAGAGACACCGCAAACTCCAAATATACAGCAGGTGTCAGGGTCGGGATGAAACCCACGACCTCCTGTATACCAGGTGAGGTAGTTAACATCTCGCCAGTGTGGCCCTGCTGGGTCTGTCCCCGTGACCTCCTGCCAGCGGGTGTTTCGACACTTCACGTGGCCTTAAAGTGCATCGATATTTACCAGGGAAAATACATTGGGGAGTGAGACACAGCAAACTACATCGAATGCATTTTCTAATTAATGGAGGACCTTGTTAAAAAAAAATGAAAAGGCTTAAAAATTCAAGAGCGAGTTCACACCCCAACCCCGGTCCCTCTCGATCTCCTCCCCCGATGCTGCAGTGAGCCCGAGAGGCACGGGGGCAGGGAGGAGGAGGAAGAGGAGCAAGAGCGGGGCGGCGGTCATCGTGAAGACGACGACGACGACGACGACGGCCAAGACAGGGGACAGCAGCGCTGGCAGGACTACAGCGAGCCCGACGATGACGACGAGTCGCGCAGGGGCGGCGGCGGCGGCGGCCACTACGGCCACTACGATCGCGCCCGCGCCGAGGAGGAGGAGCAGCAGCGACAGGAGGAGGAGGAGAGGCGCCGGCGGCAGCAGGAGTCCTACGATCCCTACGGGGGTCACCGGGAATCCCATGAAGGTCACCAGGACGGCTATGGCGGTCACCAGGACTCGTACGGAGACCACCGCGACCCGTACAGCAACGAGTACAACCCGTACTCCAGCTCGCGCAGCTACAACCCCTACCACGAGTACCAGCAGCAGGTGAGTGGCACCGGAGCGTCGCCAACGGACGGACGGGGCTCGCGGGGGCCTTTTGCGTGCGAGGCCGCTGGACGAGCGCGAGGGGCTTCCGCCGGACAAGGCGGGGGAAAAAGAACCCGGCGGTCGACAAGGCCCAGGGCGGCGGCGCCTCCGGCCGGGGCCCCTAACCGCGGAGGTTTTCGCGGTTCGAATCCGGTAAAGGCCGCCCCCAGTTAAGACTGCCGGCCGCATTGACCCTAAAAATACTCACGCGGTTAACAACAGCTTCCGCGGGGGATCTCACGCGCGCGTCCGGTTGAGCCTCCCCGGGAAAAGTCGGTGACCTTCGGCGATCGTGGTGCAAGGGGCCTGGTGGCGGGCGGCGGCGGCGGCGGCGGCGCTCTCACCGCCGACCGGCGGTTGTAGTTGCCGTCGATGATCCTGCTGCTGCTGCTGCCGCCGTTGTCGTGATTCCGGCTGCTGTTAATTATTCCTGCTGCTGTTGCGTCTCTCCCTCCCTCCCTCCCTCTTCCAACCGAGCAGCAGTACGAGCGCATGCGCGAATACCAGGACCGCTACATGCGCATGATGGAGGAGCTGGGTGTGCCGGGCGTGTGGGTGGACGGGCGATTCCGCCGGCAGGACAATGCCGACCAAGAGGGCGTGCACGACGCCTACTATGCCGCCCGGGGCCCCCACAGTCGCCACCCCTACGACTACTGATGCCACCACCGCCACCACCACCAGCACCACCAGCACCGCTAACACGATCGCTACCGACGCATCACGATGACCACTATCGACACATCACCACCAACTCCACCATCACCGCTTTCATTGCCCCTGCCGACACCACCACCAGCACCATCGCCGCCGCCACCAGCACCACCAACACGACCACTGCCAACAACGCCGCCAACAACACCGCCACCCACCAGCAAAACCAACTCCACCAGCACCACCAACAAGACCACTGCCAACAACGCCGCCAACAACACCGCCACCCACCAGCAAAACCAACGCCACCAGCACCACCAACACGACCACTGCTGACGCATCATCACCACCACCATCACCGCTCTCACTGCCAACACCAGCGCCACCGTTATTATAATTGCTATCGCTACCACCAGCACCGCCAACCTTACCAACACATCATCCACCACCACCGCTCTCACTGCCACTGACAACACGGCCATCGTTATCCCAATTGCTATCGCCACCACCACCAGTATCACCATCACAATCACCACTGCCATCAACAATGCCACCGTCACCACCGCCATCACCATCACCGTCCTCACACCGTAACCCACACTCCACATCCGCTGTAATCGGATTGCCAGCAGGCCGGCGCGTGCCGGCAACCCCTTACGATGACTCCACTCTCACCGTGTCGTCGGATTACTACCGGTAAGCTTGTCCCGGTTGATTACTTGTGATCGTTGTTCGTCGTTGAGAATGTTTCTAAAATGAGTCAAAAGAACAATTGACGGGTGGTGGGGCGGGGGCGGCTAATGGTGGAGTCTTATCACGTGGGTTAATGTGAGGACAACCATGAGCTATTGATTACTTTTTAAAAGTAACCCTACCCAACGCTACTCACACATTAACCACCTCTGCCTTCCCGGTAACGCTAAGCCGACATTGGTGTGTGGTCGGAATCGTTGGGCCAAAGCGGGGTCCAGAGACGTTGCTCTAACGTTTCCATGTACTGTGCACTGCAGGGGTTGATATACAGGGAGTGCTTCAAAAAAATGTGAACACTTCAGAGAATTTGCAACAACACCACGTGATATGTGCTGCTGCCACCGGGCGCTGGGGACCACGTGGAGAAGATTCCAGGCCACGTGTTGACAACGATGACGAGCAAGTGGGAGACTCTTTGACTTGAAGCTATTAACATTACATTTGTTATCATGTTACAGTGTCATTATCCGTTCGTCCATTAAAAACGACAGTCCCATGTAAGTGTTCACATTTTTTTTAAGCACCCCTGTATATCACCCCGACATTCACCGTCTCGCGGGCTCATTAACGCCGCTCTCATTCTCTCCTCCACCTCATCACCCGTCAGCCTCCCCGTCTCATAGCCACGGTGGCGAGATGTTAACTACCTCGCCTGGTATGCAGGAGGTCGCGGCGTTCGATTCCGACCCTGACGCCTGCTGCTGTATATTTGGAGTTTGCATGCTCTCCCCGTGGTTGCGTGGATTTTTATTTTTGGGTGCTATACATTTCCACGCGATAAGCCACTTCGTTGAGCTATCACGTGTGGCCAGGTCGCTTCTGAAAAAGGAGCTATATAGCTCAGTGGGCCTTACCGGGTAAAATAAAATAAAAATTGTTTATAACCAACAATGTCGTCCATAGCCGTCTGAACAACGTGCAATCGTCGACCCGCACTGCGTGTGTACAAAAAGTTATCGGGCCGTAATCATTCTGCGAAAAAAAACCCCACCAGTTCCTGAAGAGCTAGATCGTAACGTTGTCTTACATTACCAATACATCTAACAAATGTGACTTGAGACAATGTATAACCTGCGTAATGCAGATCTTCAGGAGCTGGTGGGGGGCGGGGGACGCTTAAGGCCAAGAGCTTTGTTGTACCGCAACAAGGTGCAGCGTGCTTTGTGCGTTGCATAAAAACGTCTGGGCTTGTTGAGCCTGCAACCGATGGTTCTGTTGTGATGATTTTGGTGTTGCTCGTCACGCGGAGATTATAATCCTGGTGTCGTGGTTTGATGAGTTGCCACGATTCTGGGCTCGCCTCACCCTTCCAATCAATAGATTCTCCTTTAGTCTCGTTGGCATTTTCTATCTTGGTCCGTGCCATTTGCACTTCACAGCCCAAAGGAACCGGCTCCGCTCTGCTCAAGTGATCCACGGCGCTCAGGATTCCCACAATAGCTGAGCCTGAGCCAGGGACACGGCTGAGCCGCCCCTGCGCCTTTAGAAGCCACCGAGCGACTCACAGCCTGAGTCTGGGTGTAGGAGGCTCACAGTCTGAGTCTGGGTGTAGGAGGCTCACAGTCTGAGTCTGAGTGTAGGAGCCTCACAGTCTGAGTCTGGGTGTAGGAGGCTCACAGTCTGAGTCTGGGTGTAGGAGCCTCACAGTCTGAGTCTGGGTGTAGGAGCCTCACAGTCTGAGCCTGAGTCTGGGTGTAGGAGCCTCACAGCCTGAGCCTGGGTGTAGGAGGTTCACAGTCTGAGCCTGGGTGTAGGAGGCTCACAGTCTGAGTCTGGGTGTAGGAGGCTCACAGTCTGAGTCTGGGTGTCGGAGGCTCACAGTCTGAGTCTGGGTGTAGGAGGCTCACAGTCTGAGTCTGGGTGTAGGAGCCTCACAGCCTGAGTCTGAGTGTAGGAGGCTCACAGTCTGAGTCTGGGTGTAGGAGGCTCACAGTCTGAGCCTGAGTCTGGGTGTGGGAGCCTCACAGCCTGAGTCTGGGTGTAGGAGGCTCACAGTCTGAGTCTGGGTGTAGGAGGCTCACAGTCTGAGCCTGAGTCTGGGTGTAGGAGGCTCACAGTCTGAGTCTGGGTGTGGGAGCCTCACAGCCTGAGTCTGGGTGTAGGAGCCTCACAGTCTGAGTCTGGGTGTAGGAGGCTCACAGTCTGAGCCTGAGTCTGGGTGTAGGAGGCTCACAGTCTGAGCCTGAGTCTGGGTGTAGGAGCCTCACAGTCTGAGTCTGGGTGTAGGAGGCTCACAGTCTGAGTCTGGGTGTAGGAGGCTCACAGTCTGAGTCTGGGTGTAGGAGGCTCACAGTCTGAGTCTGGGTGTAGGAGGCTCACAGTCTGAGTCTGGGTGTAGGAGGCTCACAGCCTGAGTCTGGGTGTAGGAGGCTCACAGTCTGAGTCTGGGTGTAGGAGCCTCACAGCCTGAGTCTGGGTGTAGGAGGCTCACAGTCTGAGTCTGGGTGTAGGAGGCTCACAGTCTGAGTCTGGGTGTAGGAGCCTCACAATCTGAGTCTGGGTGTAGGAGGCTCACAGTCTGAGCCTGAGTCTGGGTGTAGGAGGCTCACAGTCTGAGTCTGAGTGTAGGAGCATCACAGACTGAGTCTGGGTGTAGGAGCCTCACAGACTGAGTCTGGGTATAGGAGCCTCACAGTGTGAGTCTGGGTGTAGGAGGCTCACAGTCTGGGTCTGGGTGTAGGAGGCTCACAGTCTGAGTCTGGGTGTAGGAGGCTCACAGCCTGAGTCTGAGTCTGGGTGTAGGAGGCTCACAGCCTGAGTCTGAGTGTAGGAGCCTCACAGTCTGAGTCTGGGTGTAGGAGCCTCACAGCCTGAGCCTGAGCCTCGGATCGTGAAGCCGAGCCGTGAAGAGGCCCCGATATAAAACTCTAGACGTCAATGGGAGGTGGAGGGGGTGAGGCTGGGAGGAGCTGGGGGGTAGCTGTGGGAGGGAGTGAGCCGCGGTTGGGAGCGCCCTGAGGGAGGCGCCTGAACGCGGCTGTAGTCGCCGCGTCAAGAGAGCTCGCCGGGGATTCTCGGCGACAAACCCCGGCCGCTGTGAACGTCGACGAAGAACGACGACCGAGGGCTGCAGCCTCGTGCAGTCGACAGAGGCAAAACCATCCAGCGGTGGACAACCGCCTGAGCCGCGTATGGGTGGACCGGTGTCCTGGAGCGAACTCCATCAGCAGGAGGAGAAGGGGAGGAGAACGAGACGATGCCAGGCCGAGGAGCGACTCCTCCCGCGTATGCGCAGTGCTACCCCCTGTGTCACCCCCTGTGTCACCCCCTGTGTCACCCCCTGTGTCGGCTGACGGTGTGACACGCCCCGCATGGACAGCTGTGAACAAGAGCTTCGCAACTCATTCTGATAGCCTTTGACGTTGAAGTCTATGGGAGGATTTGACATTGAAATCTATGGGAGGATTTGACATTGAAGCCTATGGGAAGATTTGACATTGAAATCTATGGGAGGATTTAACATTGAAGCCTATGGGAAGATTTGACATTGAAGTCTATGGGATTATTTAACATTGAAGTCTATGCGAGGATTTGACATTGACATCTATGGGAGGATTTAACATTGAAGCCTAAGGGAAGATTTAACATTGAAGTCTGGGAATATTTAACATTGAAGTCTATGGGAGGATTTAACATTGAAGCCTATGGGAAGATTTGACATTGAAGTCTATGGGATTATTTAACATTGAAGTCAATGCGAGGATTTGACATTGACATCTATGGGAGGATTTAACATTGAAGCCTAAGGGAAGATTTAACATTGAAGTCTGGGAATATTTAACATTGAAGTCTATGGGAGGATTTAACATTGAAGTCTATGGGAGGATTTGACACTGAAGTCTATGGGAGCCTTGAACACTGAAGTCTATGGAAGCATTGAACACAGGCGTGTGGATAAGACTGCCTTAAACGGAAATAATATAACCTCTTGTTATATTCCATCTGTACGTGCAAATGCAGCGGCACTATCAGCGCTGTCGTGGGTACGTGCAGTAAATGTACCATCATCGGGCCAAGGGGTTAGTTAGTACATGCCTGAGGCCAACGTCCCATGTTTACTGTGTCGATAGGTTTCGAATTGTTTCGAATTGTCTTCTGAGAGGAGGTCACAGGGCCCCCCGGTATGTCGCTCAAAGATCACGACAATTTCGGCGGCCTTCCCGAAACCTGCAGAATCAACTTTTTAGCCCAACATCTGGTGGGGGTGGGGGAGGTCCACTTCCTGTAACTTTTTTATTTCGGACCTTCTGAAAGGCTCTCGTATAATTTAGTTGACGGACAAACGGAATGCCGCGATTTTATATCGCAGCGCGGCTTGTGGCATCAAAGGAGAAATGTCAGCGAATGATCGGGGACAACAAACACGACTTTGTTAACGTCCGCGCGACTACCTGAGAGAGATTACTTTTTATTTCACGTTCAAAAGGTGTTCGTACAAAGTTCCCGCGCGTGCCGTTCGGATCTTATAAAAGAGTGGTCGGCAATTATTGTTGTCAAACGTCACAACAACAACAACAAGAAAAAACACGTGGGTTTGCTTTTACCTTGTGACGGTATTCTCAAACCCACGTGATCACATTCCGACCAATCGCAAACACGTGACGCTGTTGCGTTGCCCGTACCGCGTATTCAAACAAACCGCGGGAAAGGACCGCAACCCGAATGTTAAAAAATAAAAACCCGCAAACGTAAACAAAACGTGGGAACAGCAGTGTAGAAATAGTAAAACAGTGCGACTGACAAACCCGTCCGTCGGACGTTACCGTCGACGTTTAAAAGATCGATGTGCGCTAAAAATTCCATGGCCAATTCCGCCGTGATGGCACCCACGGCATGGCTATCGCTTCCCTTACTCCTTCTGCCAAGCTGTTACAAACAGAGCTGACAGCCAAACCTCCCGCCAAAGTCTGCCGCGGTCAATCGCAATAGCCATACTTCCCCATGCTGGTACGTCGCGCGGTAGACGCTGGCTCGTCTCAAGCCATGGACCGCACGGGCACGCCGCTGCCCGCTTCGAATCTGCTCGTCGGCGTCGTTCGCATGTCCACCGCCGCAGCTCCGTAACCCTTTCCCGGGCCCGAGAACGTCTGCAAGTTGCAGGCTGAGGTGTCCCGTTCACCGCTGAAGCTCGGAACGCGCCAGCGACAACGGAGTTTTATTTTAGTCAATTTAGAGGGGCGTAACGCCATCGTTTTTAAAAGGCATTGTTACTCACCGCAGAGAACCGTGGCGCCGCGCTCCTATGATAGCTGGAGCCAAACTGTGCCACTCGCCCTCCCCGCATGGCCTTGTGTGGGAGCCTCGGTACCGATAAAGTTAGTTTATATTCTTGGTTCTTGCGGTAAAGTCACGTAGAAGGGAAACAATAAAATTATAAATTATTTTTAATTTCGGTAAAGTCACGTAGAAGGGAAACAATAAAATAATAAATTATTTTTTTATTATGACTTTACCGAAATTAAAAATATTTTATTGTTTCCCTTCTACGTGACTTTACCGAAATTAAAAATAATTTATTATTTTATTGTTTCCCTTCTACGTGACTTTAACGAAAGAACCAAGAATATAATAAATTATTTTTATTATTTTATTGTTTCCCTTCTACGTGACTTTACCGAAAGAACCAAGAATATGAATCCCTGCAGTCACGAAAGCTTTAAATCAAAATTTAAAGTTAGTTTACTTTTCCTTCCTGTTGCGTTCCGATGGCGTCATCGATGATGGCGTCATCGATGATGTCGTCGGGACGTAACCGGAAGGAAAAAACTGATGACGTGCACGTACGCCATCGGAACGGGAATTGGGTTAAAGCCGCCTAGTGGCTCGCCCACCAACCTCGACGTGAGCATTAGAGCTACCGCCCTCTCCATTGCAGACCAAAACCCACAGACATTTTCTCAGGCATCCCAGGTCTACCGACACTGCGAAAGCGGCACCGTCATAAGGTTTCCAACACAGTGCCACCAGATGTCGGGACAAATAAACTCCAGTTCGCCACCTGAACACGGATGCCGATTCCCAGAGTGTGCCGGGTCAAACCCGGGACACGTGGCAACCCCGAATATAAATGTTGCTGATCAACTCCCCACCACACGAAAGAAGACCACCACGAGTTGGTCAGTTGGGGTTTGTGCAGGGGAAGCCGAGGACCGGTTTGGATATCACTCGCCACTGATTTTATTGTTACACTTGATCATCCCGGAAGTTTCACTTGAATTCCATGAGTTTTTTAGGAGGGTCCTAAGTATTGACAGCAGCGAGCAACGGCCGCTGTGCATGTTCAAATTGAGTAATTTGCGGACCGTTCCTCTTGATCAAATTTGGGAAAATTTGGCGGCGTGACGGTCGGCGCACGATGTCCTGCTCCTGCGAATCACGTCGCCGGATCATCTGACGTCCTGTTCCACTGTGGCGTAAGATGCCGCGTTTTGCGTTCGCTTTAAACCGCAGCGATAACCAGGGTGGCCGCTGATCCGAACCGTGAACAAGCGGCGAACAGCGCTACAAGCTATGCCGCGACGTCCTCAGCCTACGTTAAATATCAAGGAGTACATCCCAGTAAAGTAGAAAAGGTCGCTTCGTTCAAATGTTAAAGTCCCTTTTGGCCACAACAGGAGGCCATAGGCGGGGTACATATTATTCCACAGTACATAGTTGTATAGAACACACGGTTTCAAATACACACAGCGTACAACACGTTCAGTATAAAAACGACCCTGATTATACAATTTTAGGCAATAAAAAGCCATCGTCGTATTGTAATATTGGTTTACAAGGCTGTGAAAGACCCCATCGCCACTCGCGATCCCGTTCCACACCGTACCGACGACCACATTTTCATTATGGAGGTGTTCGTTGCAGGGCTGAGAGACGGAGAGAGGCTGTTGGGAGGACGAATGTGTTGAATTTTTTTCAGTAAGCATGAGTAAAAAAAAATAGATTTTTATGAGAAATTTCAGATTAACAATATTTTTGAGCCATATCGCGTGAGTATGAATGTGTTTCGTAACATTTTTCTCGCAGTGATCTGCCCCAGAAATAAAATTTATGGGTCATAATATTCGTCGCGAAAGCTTATGTGGAAATTTTAAATATCTTTACAACTTTCGGATTGTTTAGATTACGTTACATATTAACGTGTCCACGTGCTCACAGAAGTGATGTCACCCGACACCACGTGACAACATATTTTGGCGGGAAGAGTACGGACGCGAGGTCATGCTCGTGACGGCGCGTCCGGTTTTCAGATCAATCCAAAATATTTATTGTATCGTCCGAAATTTCATTTCTAAATCTGATTTTTTTTAATTTTTGGGAGATTTTTTTGTTTGTTTAACCCAAAGGTCAAGGGCATACCACTTAAGGATCTGGCACCTGTCAAGGCAATGCGGAATTTCTACCACTAGCTTTGAGTTGGGCTGCCGACAAGAGTTGAGTGACAGGCTCGTGTTTTCATTTGAGGGTAGTTCCAAAACGTCGGACGTACGTTTCAGACGCTCTAAAAATGTGGGTAATCATCAGCATAGTCACGAAAGTGGTCGTTTACTCCGGCATGGTGTGCCAATCATTTAGGGTACTAATTAAGATGTAATTGATTAACACGTTGGCTTCCGCGAACAATATTATCCATAAGAGGTTGTTTTTTATGGGTTAGATCACGCGAATATGAATGTTGTCGTTCAACCCGCCACCACCCGATACAACACATTAGTGAGGTTGGTCACGTAAACAGAACGTGCCAAATGTATATATACACGATCTAACCCACAAAAAACCTCTTATGGATGTCCACCTTTCTCGATAGGGGAGATAAAATACCGCAATGTTGAACGTACTCGGACGAGAACTGACTTTCGCCTCCACACCGGGGTGGCGCATTCAGTTTTTGTCCGTGTGTCAAAGCCCACTGTGCCGTCTCATTCGTCAGCCACATCTTCGAAGGCTATCTAAAATCACCTTCATAATGACACCCCCCCCCCCCACCGTGTACGTATTATTTAGAGAGCCGTCATCCTCTGAGTGCCACTCCAATGCCCGTCTTGGTTACCTGCCCTCCAATACCAATGCCCTGCCAGTGACGTCACCACGGTGCCTGTGCCAGGCCACGTGCACCTTCCCTCCTCGACCCCGCAACACGCGTGTGTGTGTGTCCCACCCATCATTTCGACCTTCCTCTATTCACAACTTCTAAGTAGCTCGAACGTTTCTCTTTTGTTTCACCAGGTAAAGCCCGCCGAGCTGTGTAGCTCGTGTTTTCAGAAGCGACCGGGCCACAAATGATAGCTCAACGAAGTTGCTTCTCGTCGTCGTCGTGTGGAACGTTTTTTTTAGAGCACCCAAATACCCTAAACGAGTGTTTATAAATGCGGAGGGGGAAAAAAACCGGGAGGACCCGGAGAAAAATCATCGCGACCACGGGGAGAGACAGACACGCAGACTACAAATATACAGCAGCAGCAGCAGGCGTCATGATCGGGATCGAACCCACGACCTCCTGTGTACCAGGCGAGGTAGTCAATATCTCCTAGCCACCGCGGCGCCCCCATCACCCTATCCTCCATCCATCCTGAGCTTAACTCTATCTTCGGGGCTATCGCATTGAGTACGTTCGCATGGAGGGGGGAGGGGGGGGGTTAACCCAAACGCGTACGCTTGCGTATGGGGGGGGGTCTACTGACAATGCACGCATAGGAAACAGGGGGGGGGGGGGGTGAAGCTATCGACAATACTTTGTCTACATTGGCCTTCAAATTAGTTAGATAGTCCGGCGGTGGACTATCTGTTTGCTTAAACACGTTAATATTATTATTCCCTGATCGTTTCTGCGTGGATTAAATATTCGCCGTTCTATAGGATTCGGTGGGGCGCGCGTGACGCGTCAGGCGCGCGTGACGCAACCACCTCCTCCTCCTCTTCCCGATTCCATCAAAAGTAAACAAAAAAAATCCCCACTGCCACACAATTGCTCATCACCCCCAACCCTCCCCTCCTGGCAGACAATCCCCACCATCCTGTAACCCCGCCACCTGGATTACAAGGCAAGCAGCTTCCAGTTTCGTTGCATTGCTAAAGTGCAGCCCGAAACGTATCGGCAGCACGCATACAAATTACCGCAGCATGACCACCCACCGCTTAAATCCCCCCCATCCCATTCAAATATAACTCGTCCAATACAAACTGCTGGCTCGAGACCGCAGCTTCCGCGGAACGTAACAGGCACAACGCAGTGCGGACCGCACGTGGTTGACTACGTACGGTGCGAAATAATATTCAACATACGTGTGTGTGTGTGTACATATACACGTAGAAATCGTGTAAAAAAAAATATACAGAACAGTGCCAACGCAGTACTCTGGCCGTATGGAGCGTTGGGGCGACAGTGTTTTGCTATTCAAAGCAGCGCGAAAGTTCAAAGCGAGTTTTCTAACGAAGAACGTCTATTCAACAATCTCGAACCCCTTCTTAGCCTCTTTCATTTCATTGAAATAAAAAAAAATCGCAGCCCTTTAGGGTTAAATACACTGTTGGATGAGGGCCTCTGCACTCAGTGACAGTCGTGTGAGGTTTGATTGACCGCTCGGTGGACGGTGGTGTTGGGGAGAAATCGGCAGGGCGCGCGCGTCGCTCGCCAGCTCATGTTCGCCCGTGGCCGCCGAGTTCCATTTGTCCCATAAGGAATTCGCTCCCTGCACGGTAAAGTGGAATTTCCACCACTGGCTCCAACGGGGCAAATCGATGTAGACGCGTGTGACCGCACACCAGATTCAGCAGGGAGATTACGTGATTGTGAATTAATGATGGAATCGGTTTTTTTTCCATCACTTGTAGGCTGTGCCTGTTGTGATTTGGCTGCCAGATTCATGTGCGATGAATTTGTTTAAAGGGTTGAAACGCTTTACCGGATTGTCGGTGTGTTAACTGAAAAATGGTGAAATCTGTAAATCTAAATGAAACTCACGCTCACCACACCCAGCTCCCAGTGCCACCCCACGTGTCTCCCCAGTTGTAGAATCACTCAAGGCGGGGGGGGGGGGACAGCGGCTGTTTGTGTGGCGAGGAAGCGACCTGAGCTGTGAGGAGCCAGACGGAGAGTTCTTCCAGACTGGGCTGACAGCCTCGGGACATCGATGATGATGATGATGACGGTGGTGATGATGGTGGTGTTGATGGTGGTGGTGATGATAATGGTGGTGATGATGGTGGTGGTGGTGGTGATGATGATGGTGGTGGTGGTGATGATGATAATGGTCGTGGTGGTGATGATGATGATGGTGGTGATGATGGAGATGGTGTTGATGATGATGACGGCGGTGATGATGGTGAACACTGGCACTGATATGACGGTGGCAATCAAGATGGCCAAGGTTACACTCCGTTTGAAACAATAATTTAACCTCATTAAAATGATATGTAAGACTGCATATTTTCAATTGTAAACTAAGCCCCAACGGTGTTTTACTCAATTTTAAATTCATCACATCCGAAAAGTGTTTTTGTTTATCAAGCCTCGGAAGTTTTTTTTATTTACTTTTTTTTTTAAAAACGTTTCCACAAAGATCCCAAGTTCCATCATGGGATATACAGTACCCGCGTGCGAATAAAATAATTAACAAGTGACTGTTGACGAGCAATATGCACGCAACGTTTATGTATAAAGGGGGTCTATCAAAAAACGTCCAATTTTTTGTTTGTTTGTACAAAGGGGTTTCTTTACGCTCGTGTTTAGTGCAGTTTATTCGTACTTTAATTTTTAAGTGAAAAAAAAAACCTAACCGTCCCACGTGAACGTTGTGACCAAAGCTCAATATCCACAGGCTAACCCCCCCCCCCCCCCCCCCCAGCGCAGCGGTAGAAATTCCACATTCCTTTGGCGGGGCACAGTCTGTGCAAAGCATGACCCCTGTGGTCGGAGCGGTTGACTCGTGACCGGTAAGTTGCGAGTTCAAACCCTGGTGCGGGCCGACAAGGTTCATAATCTCTCTGTGGGGGGGGTCGATAAATCTGATGCAACTTCGTGGGGATTTCAACAACGTTCGTCTTATGGGACAGGCCAGCCCCCTCCATGGGGGAAAAAAAATGTGGAATTTCCACCACTCTCAGAATAGCCCAAAGACGCGAGCAATGACCGATGCTCATCTGAGCATTGAGTGTGTCACTTGTCTCTGCGCGTGCGCGCGTGAATGAATCGCAGTGATTCGTTGACGATACGCCGATTGTGAGAATCCTCTGAATCAATGAGGGTTTTGCTTTACTACGATCGGATGAGATGAGAGTTCTGTATTGCATGCATTGAGGGCCCCTTATCAAAATATGATTGATATTTTAACATCAACAAATCACTGTAGTCGACATGTACAGATCCTCCATTTGGCCTCACAGATCTTGGTAGCTGTTGGCGAGCGAACGGCACGGCAAAGGAGAGGTGGTGGTGCAAGGTAGCACCACGCCAGCCCCGCCGTCTTTGTCTCCCCGGCACCGGTGTTCACACGCCGTGCCAAGGCACTCATTTATGGCCAAGTCAAATTTAGGGGAGGCCCAGGGCAAGGTCACCGTTTTGGTCCTGGTGTTACGTCTCTGGGTTTCGTTGTGTAGGGCAGTAACCACCGCACCCTACCGCTCCGTCATGCGCGCACGGCGCGGATACCATACTTAACATATGGCTTTGGTATTATGTACTTTGCGTGTATATATCTGTATGTTTTAGTACACCAACCTAGTCGGCTTACCAGACAGTGAACCGGGTGTACATTTGAACATCCTATTACTGGGATCGGTCGTGTTCAGGATCATCAACGAAGCCAGCCGAAGCGCCCGCGAATGTACGTCAGAGAAGCTGAATTCCCGCTCCCAGCTCCAAGAACTCTCACGCAGTTCATGCTGGCAAATCCACCGTTTGTCACGGCTCCGCAATAAAACAATGTGAATGTTGTCGACACATCTCAATTTGCGTTTGCCAATTCCCTCCACCATCCAACGCAGCCTATGAGCAGTCACTTGTACAATTAGCAACGAGTTTCTAATTTCTATTGTTGATAATTGTTCTTCAGCTTGCCGGTGAGTGAGCTAAAAGAATAAGGAGAATAATGTAGCGTGTTGTTAGACACGCGGACACTGCGTGGCAATTCTCTTGTTTGACTGCGTTGGGTGGTGGAGTGGTAAATTAACACAACACAAATGTGGCACAAATCACGATGTCGGGGGACCGAACCCGGATTATCGATCGTGAAACGCAGCATTATGCTGCGGAAAAAATCCCAGGTGTTAAAAAGTTGAAAAATAATTGACGCCATCGAGGGAAGACTCGCGCGCTCGTCTCACTCGCCGAATCTCAGGACTCATTTTCAGGAGAGTCCTGAACCAGGCCATATTGAGCATCGAATTATTAAAACTATCCTGTTGCTTGTCGAAACAATTGAATTGTTAAAAAATTCAATTATCGAACTGTCAATCGTTGAAACAATTCAATTGTCGAAACAAATTCCGTTTGTTTTCCGTTAATTGTCCTAAAACCCGGACCACCTGGAGAAAACCCCACCTTGCACACGATGGGTTAATGCTCGAAAGGTCCACACAGATGGGTTCGCAACCATCCCTACCCCCCTCCCGCTTGTTGTACCGCACATCTGGCTTAACCCGAAGCACCTAGCGGGTTTGGGAGTTTTGTAAAATCTCCGTATGATCTGCTGACCCTTTCCTCAATCGTGCCGGATCACAGATAAACTAAACTTTTATTTTGTTGAAGCCCCACTGAGCTAATCCTGTGTCAGCTCTTTTTCCGGAAGCGACTTGGCCACAAATGATGGCTCAACTAAGTGGCTTATTGTCACGTGGAAATTTATAGCAGCCAATTATTCTAAACGGGACAAATACAGATACACGACACCGCAGCTTCCTAGGTTGGAGTCCATTCACTGGTTGTCAAGCTTTCTGCAGCGTCCGTCCCCACATCCTCGAATGAACCAGGAAAAGTTTATAATAGTCACTCCCCCTCTCTTTAAAAAAACGACGTTCAGCGTCGTTATTGTGGTTTTTCAAATCATAAATAAACGGCAATCGTTGGCCGATTCCGTTTTCCCGGTTGGATTGGAAAAAAAAACAATCGCTCTTGAAAGGACATTGACCGTAAACGTAACGGCTTGCTCACGGGAATGATGACATCGTGGAAACTCAGGATTGCTTTGGTAAAGTCCCTCGCGGCAATTACTGGTGCTGTTGTTATGGGTCAACAGTGGCGGCAAGGGTAGAAGGTTTACATGGCGACACCACTATAAATTCCACGTTCCAGCGGCAGGGCCCAGTACAGCAGCCAATGGATGAGAATTGCGGACCTCCCGACCACAATCACCTGTTAACGTCATCATCGTCGTCATCGTCGTCGTCGTCACAGTGTTGACGTTGAGGTGGCGATGACTGGTGTGACGTAATCCCAGCGATCGTCATTCCCATCCGTGACGGTGAGCAACAACGATGATGTCGTCGACCACAAGAGTGAGGCGGCTACGATTATTGGCGAGCCCGCGGTGGGCAGCTCTCCATCGCCCTCCTCAGTCCCGGCAGGGTGGCCCTCCCGGCCCAGAAGAGGTCGTGGTCGGAGGAGGTGCTGAGTCTCTTGACGAAGTTCTTCTCGTAGAGGAGGGGGTGGTAGGCCCCCTCGGTGCACGCCCGGTCCGTGTAGTCCTCGTGGTAGTGGCACAGGTCGGTGCGGCGCCGTGACGGCAGGAACTCGTAAACGTTCACCTCGTCGCACAGCCACATCATCAGCACGACGCCTGCTCGCGCACGCACGCACGCACGCACGCACGTGGACACACGCGTTGTGGTGGGGGGGGGAGGGAAGGGGGGTGGGCACGTGCAGACCGAGATGCGGACACGCACGTTTCACGCTCGCCTAACAACAAAATATTTTTTTATCTTACCAGGTAAGGCTGCCCACACTGAGCTATAATAGCTGCTACTTTTCAGACGCGACCTGGCCCGACAAATGAATGAAAGCACTCAGCGACGTGGCTTATGGCCGTGCGGACATTTACAGCAGCCAAATACTCTAGACGCACGTCGATTCCGAATGCGGACCCGGAGGATCCGGAGAGAAATCTACGGCGACCACGGGGAGAACGTACAAACTCCAAATATACAGCGGGCGTCAGGGTCTGGGTTGTAGCCACGATCTCCTGCGTACCAGGCGAGGGGAGATAACATCGCGCCACACAAATGGTGATTGATATGATTAACTAGAGGGCAGCCCGTGACACTCACCGGGCGCCTGATTCTCACCACTCACCATTCCACTGTGACCGACCAAAGCGGAATGCTGAGTGGTGGCTATGCAGGCGGTGGGGGCCTCTAGTCCACCACTGTGGAGGCAGCAGCAGCAGCAGCCTCCACAGTGTTGCGAAACTAAGCGTGGACTAATCTCCACCTGTTTCATCATGAGTGTGTGAGGGTGCCACCACACATTTGACACCACTGGGGGTTTGTGACAGCAGCACGATGATAATGATGATGACGATGATGGGGGATGTTGTCACTCTGTGTATTGTTGGGAGGCCGCACGTCAGGGGCTGAACTCAAAGGCGACCAGGGGCCCCCGCAGGGCCTTGCAATGAAGAACCCTGGGATCGAGTGTTGCCCCCTTTTTTTTTACGCGTGGATTTTCTCCGGGCGCTCCGGGCTCCTGCCGCAAGTAAACGCTCGTTATTTGGCTGATGACACCCCGATATATGACGGCCACAGAGCTTGTGGGGGAAATTTGGCACCAGCTCGCTGCACGGTTGCTGCTGCTCCCCCCCCCCACCTCGTTAGCGGGGGGGGGGGGGGGCTCTCCGAGAGCGAGGAGCGAACACTGTGCAATAGCGGCACGTTGCAAGTTGACATTTTGACTATTATCACAAAGCGTCACTCGGTGGTGGCGCTTGCACGAGGTGCAGTAGCGCGCTTTGTCCAGCAGATGGGGCACCGCTGTGCTGAACGCGCGTGCCGAAGGTCGCGTCTTGTACCAATGGGCCCCTCGCCGAACCCAGTGGCCCAGCCATATCGACAGGTCAAGCCTCAGCCGGCCCCTCCGAGTATTTTAAGCACAAAACGATTCATCTGCCGATTCGCGGCTCGATTGCTCAACCAGCCGTGCGCCGCTGGGCGTGGCTTGTCAGGGATTTCCCGCCTTCGGGAGGCCAGAATAATCGACAGCAGAAACAAACTGCAAGTCGATTATGATGTTTAGTCGACCGCATGACTCGTCCGACTACTGGTCCTGGCGGAAAATTCACTATTACTAAGATGATTATACAAACGGGTGAGCGGTGAGTGTCTGAAGAGGGTCAGGTGAGCGTCACATCACCCACAACTACAGGAATTCACGTAACATTTGATGAAGCGACAAAATGCGACTGTTGCTTCTGCAATCTGTCACCGGGCGCTCACTGACGACGGGCATGGTAGTTATAATGTTGCTATCATTTGCGGCGTTCTCCTAATAATCTTGTGCAACCGACCAGCGTGGGCGTCCACAAGTTGTACGGAGCTCGACGTCACGACGCTGAGACTCGCGATGCGTGAACCGCAGCTGAAGAACGTTTTAAGTGATCTTCATTTGCCGCACCGGTAGGGGTGCAAGCAAAGCGCTCGCACCGACGGTGCAACAACATTGGGAAATCCGGTAGAGTGTGTGTGTGTGTGTATGGGGAGTGGTGGCAGAGCGGTTAGCGCTACGCTGCTCCTCGAACACGGCGACCCGAGTTCGATTCTCGTTCACGGCCACAAGCATCCGTGACAAATATCTGAACCGGTCCTGGGCCTCCACCTAGGTCGGCTCAGCCTCAAATGAGTACCTAGTGCGGTGTGTAAACATCGCCACTGGGGAGACAAAGGCGGCCGGGCGTGGTGCCGGCCACCCACCGCCTCGTGTGCCGTGTCGGCCGTTGTTTGTTGCTGTAACGTCCTGACCTGCCCCGTCTGGAAATCTGTGAAAAAGAGCTTTACAGCTCATCGGATTCCTCCAGTATAAATTAATATTCTTAATTCTGATCATAGGGTCCTACTCGCTGACGGCAATTGCTCCATCAAGTCTGTGAAGGCTAAAACGGGGGCGGGGGCGATGTTTTTCCTGCGTACCCAGGAAGCCGGAGGAGGGCGGGTTGGGCTGGATGTGCTCACTGGCGCTGTCCTGCAGCAGTTCCCAGATGCGCCACAGGTAGGCGGGGTGCAGCACGAACGCCGGCTGCGTTGGGTGGCGTTGCCGGCGGCGCAGGAACGCGGGGAAGAAGTTGTAGTCCGGGTCGTGGAACCACTGCGGGATGGCCGAGATGGGAGGATTTGTCGAAGGCACACGCACGCCCACCTCGTACGCACGTGTGTGTGTGCCTGAGTGGCGGTAGTGTAGCGGTTAGCGCGCTGCGCTACGAACCTGGCGACCTGGGTTCGATTCCCGCTCATGGCCAACACCGGTGACGATTGTTTGAACCGGTCCTGGGCCTCTCCTAGGTCGACTCAGCCTCAAATGATTACCGTACCATGAATACAGTAACCTCAAGTTTTATTCCCGGCAACAGCGACCATCTGTGGCAACGTATATGTGAACCGGCCCCGGTCTTAAATGAGTACCTGGGGAGACAAAGGCGGTCGGCTACTTTTCTAGCCACACTACCGACCTCCTTGTGCACCGTACCGGCCTTCATAGGTGCTACTCGCTAACAGCAGCACTTGCCCCAACAGTCTGTTAAAGATTCTAGATTTAAAGCTTTCGTGACTGCAACGATCCATACTCTTTGGTTCTATTCGGTAAAGTCACGTAGGTAAAAAATAAAACAACAAAAATCACGACGTTTCGGGCCACAACACAAGCGGCCTTCATCAGGTGAAGGGACCAGGCTGTCTCGAGGACAGCGCTGGAGTGAAACACAGCCACGCTCAGACCGCGACCTTTAAGCTGTGTGCGAGGAAACAAGGTGCCTTGACAAAGGAATTAGCATAAAAAATGAGCATTTGATTGGCCGACTTAGGCTATACAGGGGAATCTTTCGACCTTGTCTTTGTCCAGCACTTGCCCCAACAGTCTGTGGGCGGCGTAGTGTCCCGCCTCTCCCCCCCCCGCCCCGTACCTGCGTGAGGTTGAGCGAGTACGGCGCTGGGTCCCACACAAGCAGAGTGACGTCACGGTAGAGAGTGCTCCGGGAGAAGTTGTTCTGAGGCCGAGCCAGGATCTGCGGACACGAGGAGCAGACCCAGGGGGGGTGCGGGAGGTGATTCTCAGATGCCCTCTTGAACCCTTTCACAGCCCCCCCCGCCGTCTAAACTAAAATACTTTTTACTTTAACAGGTCAGGGCCCTACAAATGATAGCTCGGCAAAGTGGCTTATCACGTGGGAATTTATAGCAGGAGCCAAACACGGTAAACGCGTGACGTCGATTGTTAAAAATGTGGAGGGAGAAACCGGAGGGCCCGGAGAAAAATACACACGACTACGGGGAGATCACGCAAACTCCAAAGAAACTGCAGGTGTCCGAGTCGGGATCGAACCCACGACCTCCTGTATACCGGGCGAGGTAGTTAACATCTCCTAGCCACTGTGACGTGTATTCCTGGGACCCAGCAATGCACCTCCAGTGGGGGGGGACGTTCCAATGTTTCCTCTCGACCCCAAACGGAACGCCGAGATTCCTCCGGACAGCTCGTGGCAAAAATATGGAAAGGAAAAATACCGTGCTCGGACCAGGGTCATGCCCCCTGTTCAAAAGCCAGTCGATCGACAGATGGGTCGTGTGTGGAGGGGTAAAGTGTGGGTATTCCCACCTCTATCCAAGATGCCTGACCAGCGTGGAAGAGTAGACCAAATACCCTCTTAGAGGAGCTCTCTGGAGCCCCCTTCTGCCAGCAGTGGCGTGAGCAGGCAGCTGCAGGGCTGCCCCTTCATCTGTTACATGTTATACTCTGCTTTGTCTTGTGCTACACCACATGTCTTACCTGGGAGTTGACGAGACGGATCGTGGTCTTGGTCCCGACGTCCTTCTCGAAGTGTTCGGTCGGCGCGGCGTTAAAACGGAGCACAGCATCGTGAGCGTCTGTCGGAAGAGGGGCGCAATGGTGAGGGCCTTTAAAGGAACTCGCAACATGAACCCACGGTCTCAACGCTGACCCACAGCGTCAACACTGACCCACGGCATCCACACTGACCCACAGCGTCAACACTGACCCACAGCGTCAACGCTGACCCACAGCATCAACACTGACCCACAGCATCAACACTGACCCACAGCGTCCACGCTGACCCACAGCATCAACACCGACCCACAGCATCAACACCGACCCACAGCGTCAACACTGACCCACAGCATCAACACTGACCCACGGCGTCAACACTGACCCACAGCATCAACACTGACCCACAGCGTCAACACCGACCCACAGCATCAACACCGACCCACAGCGTCAACACTGACCCACAGCGTCAACACCGACCCACAGCGTCAACACTGACCCACAGCATCAACACCGACCCACAGCATCAACACCGACCCACGGCATCCACACTGACCCACACCGTCAACACTGACCCACAGCGTCAACACTGACCCACAGCATCACTGACCCACAGCATCAACACCGACCCACAGCATCAACACCGACCCACAGCATCAACACTGACCCACAGCGTCAACACTGACCCACAGCGTCAACACCGACCCACAGCATCAACACCGACCCACAGCATCAACACCGACCCACAGCGTCAACACTGACCCACAGCGTCAACACCGACCCACAGCGTCAACACTGACCCACAGCGTCAACACTGACCCACAGCGTCAACACCAACCCACAGCGTCAACACCGACCCACAGCGTCAACACTGACCCACAGCGTCAACACTGACCCACAGCGTCAACACTGACCCACATCGTCAACACTGACCCACGGCGTCCACACTGACCCACATCGTCCACACTGACCCACAGCATCAACACTGACCCACAGCGTCAACACTGACCCAGAGCGTCAACACCGACCCACGGCGTCAACACCGACCCACAGCGTCAACACCGACCCATAGCGTCAACACCGACCCACGGCGTCCACACGGACCCACATCGTCAACACCGACCCACAGCGTCAACACTGACCCACAGCATCAACACTGACCCACGGCGTCAACACTGACCCACAGCATCAACACTGACCCACAGCGTCAACACCGACCCACAGCATCAACACCGACCCACAGCGTCAACACTGACCCACAGCGTCAACACCGACCCACAGCGTCAACACTGACCCACAGCATCAACACCGACCCACAGCATCAACACCGACCCACGGCATCCACACTGACCCACACCGTCAACACTGACCCACAGCGTCAACACTGACCCACAGCATCACTGACCCACAGCATCAACACCGACCCACAGCATCAACACCGACCCACAGCATCAACACTGACCCACAGCGTCAACACTGACCCACAGCGTCAACACTGACCCACAGCATCAACACTGACCCACAGCGTCCACGCCGACCCACAGCATCAACACTGACCCACAGCGTCAACACTGACCCACAGCGTCAACACTGACCCACAGCGTCAACACCAACCCACAGCGTCAACACCGACCCACAGCGTCAACACCGACCCACAGCGTCAACACTGACCCACAGCGTCAACACTGACCCACATCGTCAACACTGACCCACGGCGTCCACACTGACCCACATCGTCCACACTGACCCACAGCATCAACACTGACCCACAGCGTCAACACTGACCCAGAGCGTCAACACCGACCCACGGCGTCAACACCGACCCACAGCGTCAACACCGACCCATAGCGTCAACACCGACCCACGGCGTCCACACGGACCCACATCGTCAACACCGACCCACAGCGTCAACACTGACCCACAGCGTCAACGCCAACCCACGGCGTCCACACTGACCCACAGTTTCACTGGAGGCTTTAGGTCAGTCACATGGTTGGCTACACGTTACCTACTATAGACCACAATGCACTGTGCATGCGGTTCGCCGCTGCATACTAATGCACGTGTGTATCATATATCTGACGAGGCCATTGTGAGCCTCCTGAGGAGAGCAGGACCCAGCAACAGGGTTGCAGGTCACGATCTGAGATGTGCTTGTTCAATGTCTCTGTACGTATGTAACGTTGAACTTCTTTCGCACCGTACGTAGCCAACTGTGCTCATCGGAGGTGCGGGGATAAGGACAACAAACCAAACACAAGAAAGCAGTTTGAAAATAAATGGAGTTCTCAATCTCGATTATTTATTTTACCAGGTAAGGCCCACCGAGCTCTGTGGCTCTTTTTCAGAAGCGGCCTGGCCACAAATAATAGCCCAACGTGGACATTTAAAGTAGCCAAATACTCTTAACGCGTGTTTCTCAATGGGGTCGGAAAAACCGGAGGACCCGGAGAAAAATCCACCCCAAATATACAGCAGGCGTCAAGGGGTAGGGATTAAAACCCACAACCTCCTGTAGCGCAGGTGAGGTAGTTAACATCTAGCCACCGCGGCACCCTGATGATCTCGCTGAATCGCTCAACCACCGCTACCATCTCATTGCTTCTCTCAAACCGTTCCGGTTGGTGGGCACGTGCGGAAGGGGTGTGGGGGGGGTAAGAAGGAAAGGAGAGGGGTGGAGTGACACACAAAACCCTCACCGATTTCTCGCCCCAGCCCCGACCCGAGCATGGCTCCCGCCGACGACACGACGGCACAGCGCTCCAGCGAACGTCCCCCGGACACGGCGCGCTCCAGCCCGCCGGCGTCCAGCGCCTCCCTCCACGCGCCCATCGCGGAGAAGGGCGGCTCGGAGCCTCCGAGCGTGAGCGTCGACCGCAGCGCCGTCACCCGCTCGGCCACCAGGCACAGGAGGTCGCGCCGGCCGGCCGCCGACAGCGGCCCCGTGGAAGGAGGCCGCCCGGCCGCTCCGGCGTAGCGCACGCCGTGCTTGTTCTGCTCGATGTACTTCTCGCGCGCCCGCTGCAGGCGCGGCGACAGCTGCCGCGAGCCCGTGCCCTCGTCCCACACGCCCGCCGCGTGGACCGCGCGCGGCCACGCGGCGGGCCGCGGCGCGGGCCGCGGCGCGGCCCGCCGTTGGGGCCGCCGGGGTTGTCGATGTCTCGGCCGGGGTTGCTGGGGTCGGGGTTGCTGGGGTCGCGGTCTCGCCCAGCCCTTCCCCCCGGGACCTCCCGCCGGCGCGACGCCGTCGCGCGACACGACCTTCAGGACGCCGCTCCTGCCGGGCGCCCTCCGGAACACCGGCCGGTCGCCTCCTTCGCCTCCGGCCTCCGCGGGCGGCGGCGGCGAGAGCTCGGCCCCCGCCCCGAGCCGCCTCTCTTCCTGATCGGCGAGCAGCAAAGCCCGGGGCGGATTCCCCACGAAGGATTCCGCCGGACCCGGCCGCGCCGGCCCGCGGAAGCCGTCGTCGCCGGCGCTCGGAGGTTTCCGCGAGGGTCCCGGGTAGCGGCGGTCGGCGCCGCCGCCGCCGCCGCCGCCGCCGCTCCCCAGGAGTCGAGTGACGGCGCCCAGCGAGCGTGAGAGGGCGGCGGGAGCGTAGGTGTCGCGCTTCACGTCGCCCAGCAGCAGGCACACGGCGGCGAGCGCGAGCAGCCAGGAGAGGAAGCAGGCGACGAGGAACAGGCGCCAGCCGGGCGCACGCCGGCGCTGACAGGCCATTTCCCACAATCCCATCCGCCCTGCCACTGTTGCCTTCCTCCGGCAGCAGAAGAGGCGGCGTTGCTACCGGCAGCAACAGCGGGGGCGGTCGGAGCACTCGCGCAGTGTGGTTCACGCGGGGCCCTTGTGCAAGGAGCTAAATCGGAATAGTTTGACGGGAGGAATCCGATGAGCTATGAAGCTCATCAAAGTGGTGCCCACCCACCCACTCCCCCCCCCGTCACAGTCCGCCTTCGCCCCCCTTCCTTGCGGCCTGGCGCCTGGACCCCCTCCGACCCTTTGCCGGTCGCACTGCGTGGACACTCGGTGGCGACGTCGTCCTCCAGCGGCCGCGACGGCACTACAGCTCCGCGACCGTCGCTGCCGCCCTCATTGGCGCCGCCGAGACTCGACGACTCCTCCCTCCCGTTGTTCCGCTCACCATCCCTCACCCTCCCGGGCCGCCCAGCCCCCCCCACCCCCCCCCCCCCACGCCGTCGGGTGCGTGAGAGTCTCCCGGTCGGGGGGGGGCAGGAGAGTCGGTCAGGAGCTCATCGCGTGAGAGGCGAGTGCCGGTCTGGGGGGGGGATGCAGAGCAGGGCTCAAAGTTAATGGGCCATCGTTGACGATGCCGCCGCCGCCGCCGCCGTCATTACGGAAGGGGGTGGGCAAAGGTCAATGTAGGTACTGCTGCTCAATAAATTTGTCAAAATTTGTCAAAAAGCAATGCCAGGTCTTATCTTATGATTAGATTAAGGCCATTAAAGATGATAAGCCACCATTTGACACTTCAGTTGGCTCGTGAGCGACAACAGGGGGGGCGGGGGCACGGGATCACTAACGCCACGGTTCCGTTTGTTTGCAATCCTTTCAATTATAGATCGCAACTTACTCGGTGGCGATAAAACCAATAGCAACCGCACCCTACGGACTAACGCCCACTCTGGGGCCGGTGATACGTGACGCTACGCCACACGTATGTATGTGCACGCGGTGAGCGCGTTGTTCTGCAAAGCCGGCGACCCAAGTTGGATTCCCGCCCATGGCCACCAACACCCAGTGGCAATTATCTGAACCGGTCCTGGGCTATCGGCAGGGACTCTCTTGAAGATGCGGGGCTGATTTTGACGGGGAAATAATCACTAACCTCATTGCGGGTAATATAAAAAAACCAAATAGATCAGCAGACAATACAATAACGGGGTCATCACGTGAGGTGCGTAAGGCTCGCTGGCAGGAAGTCACGGGACAGGCTCGGGTAGGTGTTGTAAGTTACCTGAGATGACTGGCACCTCTCAGACTGATTAACTGCACCTATTAGGACCGGCACAGCACACGACAGGGTGGCCAGCACCATGCCCCGCCGTCTTTGTCTCCCCAGTGCTGATGTTTACACACCGCACCCTGTACTCATTTAAGGCTGAGTCGACCCACACCAGCACACATGCCAGCATGCACACAATGTGTGCGTGAGTGTGGGGGGACCGGTAGCACAGCGTTTAGTGCGTTGTTCTATAAACCCGGCGACCCGAGTTCGATTCCCGCTCACGGCCACAAACACCAGTGGCAATAATCTGAACCTGTACTTGGCCTTCCCTAGGTCTTTCGCACCGTGCATAGCCAACCGTGCTGATCGGAGGTGTAGGAGAAAGGACAACAGACTATTTAGAACTTTAAACGACAACTGGGCATTGGAATGATAAGAGATAAGATGGAAAAACGTGTAAGGCGCTTGAAGAAGCCGGGGTGATTCAGCCAGCGCGCAATAAATGCAAATCCTTCGCCCGTCTCATCTCTCTTCTCCTTCCGCCGCCTCTTCAGAATCGGAATATTTATTTTCACCGGAGGAATGTGATGCGCGATAAAGCTCTTTTTCAAAGATGCCCAATAGTTTATTTTCTGTCCTCCCCTACTCTTGTTTCCTTTCACTTGTTTTTGTATTGACAGGGGTAAGGACAGCTGTCATCTCTTCGTCGCTCAGACGAGACATCCCACTTGTCAGCACGACCTGGGGTGACATCACTGCTCGCGGTTCCAATTTCCGTGACCAACAGCAGTGAATTGTGTTAAAATGAGTGGGTGTTACAAAGTCATTCACTCTTATTGGCACGAATAAAGCGTAACTAATTTAGGTGGGTACCATTTTCTGCTCTGGCCCATAGACTATCAACCACAGCAAAGGTAGTCAGACCACCAATTAAGGTTTTTCCTTATGATAATACTATACTCAATGAATGTTTTTGAAAAGCTATTAATTCTTTCCTATTGTATTTTTTCAGGAACAAAAATCCACCCTGCTGATGTCTCCCCAGTGTTTCTCTTCTGCAGTATACAGCTGTCAAACGCGTCCGCGTAGAGCTGTGTTCACTTCCAGTGCCAATTTTCTCAACATTTCACTTAAGGTCTGAGATAATGCGATCAGCTGGATGAAAGCCACTCGCTGCCTCGTTAGACCCTGGGCTCCTCCGGAGCCGCATGCGGCTCTTTAAAGACTACTTCCTAACGTTATTTAGGGTGGCTGGATGTGAACTACCTAGCCTGGTATACAGGAGGTCGTGGGTTCAATCCCGACTGACGCCTGCTGTATATTTGGAGTTTTTCTCTCCCCGTTGGTCGCGTGGATTTTTCTCCGGGTCCTCCGGTTTTTCCCCCCACATTTAGCAACGTGCGTTTTTCCACATGATAAGCCACTTCATTTGGATATCATTTGTGGCCAGGTGGCTTCTGAAAACAAGTTACGTTGCTCCATGGGCCTTACCTGGTAAAATAAAAAAAATAGCAAAGTATTTATTAAGGACCACCGTCTCATATTCACGTGCGTTGCAGAAGCAATCCTCAAAGGCCGAAATATCGAAAAAAAATGCCTCGTTATTTTGGTTGCTGACCCATGGCTCGAGTCCAAACTGAAATGATGGGATTGTTTTTTTTCTTTTCACCCCATCATTGGCTTGGCCCAACTATTTTTTTGAATCACGAACGGTTGTCATTTGGTGTATTTGTCTGGTGCTCTCAAGGAAGCTGTATGGTGGAAAAACAAAAAAAAAAGAATCCACGGAAACGTGGCAAATATCGACCCCCCGGTGTTTTAACTTATTGCCTTTTTTAAACAATCTGCAGTGGGTGGTAACAGATCAGCGTCGGGATTTTCCACGATTGCGATAAGATTTCAATCTGGATTCAATGACGCTCGTAAAACGGGAATGCCGCTCGGTGCGTAGGTCAGCGCTAGACGCCTCTCCCTCCCGGCGTGTTTTCCCCGCGCGTTCCGCGCGCGTTCGTTCCGCTCGGCTATGCCCGACGTTTCGCGTTAAACGCGTGCTTGGGAGGCTTCTTCAGGAACCGAATCAAAGAAACTGACCCACTTAACAAAAAATCAAGCGTGACAGGGGCAGCAGCCCTCGCTCGAGTAGCGAAGCGACGCATGCAGACATCCACGGCCTTCCACCGCACCTCCGACCGGCATGGTTTGCTACGTACGGGTCGAAAGAAGTTCAACATATATACCCAAACAACTTTACCGCCGCCGCTGCTGCTGCTGTTTCTCTTTCTGCTGCTGCCTGTCGGACATTGTAAAGTCCTTTCCGGGCACCTGCTCTGCCCTCATCAAATACTTTACGAACTTCCTAAAACATCGATTGTTTTTCCCCTTTTTTTCCCCAATGTGAAACTCCGTCACGAGAAGTTCGATTTTCGAAGAAAGTCTTTCATTTGGAACGCTGCAGCTAGCAGTGCACCACCCTGTGTCAGATAAAGGCCTCGGAAGAGGACGTCGCAGAACCGCTTCCGAATTTTCACTTCACTCGACCTCGGTTACATCCGCACCGGGGGACTGATCATTTTCAACGGCATAGTTTTGCCGGGCTAATTCGTCAAAACAACGCCGCCCGTTGTTTTGACGACCGTCCACCAAGTCCGGCGGAGGCCCCCTCCCTACTGGAGCCACACAACCGCGGGGGGCCACGGAGGCCCGACACCCGCGGGGCTCGGAGATTCACGCGCAACACGCTACACGAATTGCAAATCAATTGGCCATGAAGTTTCGCTTGCACGGTCAATCGGGTTGAAGCTCAGGATCTGGAGAGCGGTGTTGGCCGAGTTCTGTAACCCCCCCCCCTCCCCCACCACGGGGGCCACCCAGCCACCACCCGCACAAAGACAGATTGTTTCTCTCTTCTCTGTCTCGCGTTGCAGTGATGTGTTGATTGATGGCATGGGTATGGTGTTGGTGCGGGTATGGTGTTGGTGCGGGTATGGGTGTTGGCGAGGGTATGGTGTTAGTGCGGGCGCGGTGTGGGTATGGCGTGGGTATGGTGTTGGTGAGGGTATGGTGTTGGTGCGGGCGCGGTGTGGGTATGGCGTGGGCATGGTAGTGGTAAGAGCTAGTTAAGATCCAGTGCAGTGTTAATGGATAATGTGTTACCAGTAATGTGCATCACTGGAATAATAATTGAATTGCTGAGTGTCGTTGTGTAGAATATAATGAAATAAAATAGTTGTGTAGAATATAATGAAATAAAATAGTTGTGTAGAATGAAATAAAATAGTTGTGTAGAATATAATGAAATAAAATAGTTGTGTCGAATATAATAAAATAAAATACATAAGCATCCATATTGTGTCTTTCCCATATTTGAATATACACGTACTTTTTTCTTTACAAAAACCCCATCGCCCTAATGGGCCTTCCGGGGTGTGGAACATTTCAGAAGAATTGATTCGGCACAAGCAAACTCTGGACCGGTTTCAACATTCACAGTCTAATCAGAAGAGCCAGTCAGAGTAATGCCTGTTTGAATCACTGCTGGTAAATTGCCAGGTGCTATCGGCAGAAGATGCGGGTCTGATTTTGACGGGGAAATAATCACTAAGCTCATTGCGGGTAATATAAATAACCAAATAGATCAGCAGACAATACAATAACGGGGTCATCACGTGAGGTGCATAAGGCTCACTGGCAGGAAGTCACGGGACAGACTCGGGTAGGTGTTGTTATAAGTTACCTGAGATGACTGGCACCTCTCAGACTGATTAACTGCACCTATTAGGACCGGCACAGCACACGACAGGGTGGCCAGCAACATGCCCCGCCGTCTTTGTCTCCCCAGTGCTGATGTTTACACACCGCACCATGTACTCATTTAAGGCTGAGTCGACCCACACCAGCACAAATGCCAGCATGCACACACTGTGTGCGTGAGTGTGGGGGGACCGGTGGC